ACCACCAATCCTGAATTAGCAATGTCCGGAATGTTCTCAGCAGGGGCAATGCTGTCGAAGGGATTAATTACTTAGGCACGGCTAAAGGCATTCTTAACTTCAGCACTAGACCAAGTTGAATGGTCAAATTCATGCTCCGGCTGCTTCATACACCGCGTCCACTGCGCAGGTGGGCCCGCAGACGGTCCGGGCGCGATGTCACGAAGAGGGAAATCACTGCCCCTGACAAGGAGCAAACCCTGGCTGTCCACCCACAACATTGACTAAGCTCTGAGCTACCTCAGTACCAACTTCAAATATCAAATTTAATCTTTACGGAGCAGAACTCTTCCTTAGATCCGCTGCTTCAACCGTTCAGTCTGACTCAAAAATCTGTGACCAACTCCTCACTTCAGCATGTCACCAACAAAACAAAGAGCAGAAGGTTCAAGGTTATGTCCTATTCCTTAGCCGGTTCAGTCCCATCTCTTCATGTTTAATATGTCCCAGCTTATGCCACAATAGTGGACTAGGGGGAGGGGGGGGAGCAGCTTGTAGCATTAATGGTTCTCTGTTTCAGCAGTTACTACCAACATACAAGTCAGCAGGCTCATGTAAGCTTCAAGGAGACACAAACCAAATCAGCTAATTTCAAAGTTCAGTTTCTAATTAAATAAAGTTATCAGCAACCTGTCACAAATGACACCCAAACAATTACCACTTTCTCATGATAAAAAGGCAGAGACTGTTCGCCTATCCACAACTCGACTCAACTCGGTGGTCTTGTAAATTACATTTCATGGCATGTCTGATGAGACTGGCTGCAACTCCTTTTAGGAGTCTCAGTATTAAGTGGTAGAACAGAACTGGGTCCACTGGCAGGGCTCAACCCTCTGGATACATCAAACAAATTGCCACTGACTTAGGGGACTTAGTGCTTACAGCAACAGCTGTGATGTCATCAAGCGAACGTTATGTAGCCTGACAGGCATTACACAATTAGATCAAACAGTATCTGGCAGATAATGTCTAATGCGTCTGATAACACAAGCCACTCAGTGTTTCTCAACAGGATAAAGTCGTAAACTGATATGACGGGGAAGCAAGCAGCAAGGACGATGGCACTTTGCTCCTAACCAGGGAATCCTTCCCTGGGAATGAAGCACATCATTCACCTCCATCTAATGCCAAGAACCATACCACACGGAACTTTGCCACCACATCCCAACATTCCCTAATTGCACGCGCTCCTGACAGCTTTACATTTTACGAGAATCAGCTCTGGAAACAGTTTTCGTGCCGATAAAGTTTTATTTTCCAGAGGAACAGTGAATTTGTGGCACAGCTCAGAGAGAGGGAGAGTTCATCATCACAGAAAACTGACTTCTGCTTCAAGAAAATGAAGGTGAGGTACGGAGGGGAGTACTTTCTTTCCAATTTGGATTCTGATGGTCAGACAAGACGTGTGCCTGGCTGGCAGGAATCAATCCTGACAATGCCAACTTCTTTACTGTGAATCTCATGTGGCAAGAAAGTTGACATCTTCCAATGCATCATTTTGCCCCCAAGGAAGCAAGAGGTGACGAAGCAGACTGGAAGACACGGGCATTCGGTCGTAGAATAACCATCTTCAAACACCACCCAGTTTTGTCATTTGGAATCCATTTATAATTCATTCATGGCTAAATGTAAGCTTTCTGTTTCAAAGAATTATACACAAAATCAAGGCGAGACCTTCCATGATCTACCTCAGCCTCTCCCGTCTGCCTCAATTCATCTCAGTCATCATCACTACACCACAGCGCCGAAGTGTTGACGCTACGGCCTATAATAATCAAATAAATAACAACAGACTCTGTTTCCAAGCGCTGCATCTGTGTATAAAGAAAAGTCCCGCTACACGCCAAGCAGGCACTTGGAGGGGAGGAGTTTGTGAAGGTATAGGTCCTACTCTTTTTTTGACCTCGGCACTGGATGGGGGTGAGCGGTCTGCTTCATGCCCCGGTTGCGCTTTACCCCCAGGAAAAGATCCTGGTACCCACTGGATAAGAGGCTGGGTGGGTGTGCATGTAGAATGAAAAAAATAATTATTACAATTTTACAGATAACAACCGACTTCACTTGTTTCAAAAGCCGCACGTTCAAGAGGCATTTGTTCCGTCCACTACAGAGACGACATGACCTACAAAGGCTCTTTATCTGCAATGCAAGACAATAGGACGTCGTGGGAATATCGAGCATAATGCCCGCGGAGAAAGTCAAGACAATTCCAGCACACGTGACGAATTTAGGGTTACCCAAAAGAACGTCTTCCCTTTGGAATTCTTCTACCTCATCAAAACATGCTTCGAATCGAGCATCGTGGTCGGAGGTCCCGTGGATTATCTCAGCCCCTCCAGGCAAATGCCGGGATACGACCTTAAATCACGTCACGACCGCTTCCTTTCGAATTCATTAGTCTTTTTCATCTGGCACTGTCCTGCTGTCTGATCTACATAAACCATAATTAAAAGCGTACGAAAGAAACCAAGATGGCTGTCTTCTCAGCTGTAGCGCCGTGAGGTCTGGTAGGAGTTTACCGTAGTTTCCGAGGTCCTTGCTGATGAATCTTAGGGGTAGGAGCAAAAATTAAAAACGCGGGGGTAACTTTCCTCACTTCAACTTGTATTATCCCCCACGGCCATTAATTTTAATTTTAATTTTTCTTTCGTGCTCGTTTCAGGAAGACAATGGGTACCAAATTTTGTAAAGTTCGGGCAACGGTTTCAAGAGACAAAGAGGAAGCGGTCGGCAAGGCGGCGAGCTTCACTAGCACCGTCAACTGACCTGCAGGGGGGCAGTGACCCCACACAGCGGGCGGCCGATGCCCGCAGGAGCAAGCAATCCAGGAGGCTGACATTCAACGGCGAACTATTTCATATGAAAGATTCATCCCGCACCTCCGTCCATTGCAACCGAGCGGCACAAATGCCTCGAGCCCTCGACGTTTCAACAGAACGAAGATGGCTGTCGTCTGGGTTGTAACGCCATCACCTCTGAAACGTCGGCGCATCGTCCCGGAAGACAGCCATCTTCGCTCGTTTCCGCTGTCCGTCACAACAAAGCACAAGTGGGCCGCCATTTTCAATACCAAGTCGTGTTTACGCGAGAGATCTGCAATTTCGGGGGCCGAAGCAGGACGCCAAGCCGCCATTTTGAACTTGCCTTGGTGTGGAGGAACGCGAGGCTCTTGTTGACGTTCTCCACCTTGTGCACCCTCATCTTGCCGTTGTTCGGCTTGCCCAGTTTCTCCCCGGAGATGATCTCCAAGAGTTTGAGGAGCTTCTTGCCGTCCGCCAAGTCCGTGAACAGGTCCTCCACCTCCATCCGCGCCTGCGCAAATCAAAACTTTCCTCCTCATTTCCAAGTGCCGTCAGCCGCTTCGCCAAAAACTGAATTCAAGCGAACGGGAGTGCAAGGCTGGAGGGTGCGTATAAAACACTGGAGCCCCTGGACAGAGAAACGGATTCAGTGACGACGTACCTTGAGCAGGAACGAATTCATCCATTTCGTGAATGTTTTCTTCTGTATGGCCAGCCGCTCCTCCTGCAGCGCCCTGATGCGGCCTTGTTCGAACTTGATGACATCCTCACGCTGCGTCATGGTTGGGCCATACTGCGTCACGCCTGCAACACACGACGCACAATTATCACAAATCCACAAGAAACTTCTCTCGACCTCAAACGTGTCTCGCTTCTGCCCCCCCCCACCCCCAAAAAAAGTAGCTTACTGCGTCCGAAGCGCGGACTCCTGGGTCCAGACGGTCTCCAACCCGTCGTGGCCATGCTGTCCACACTGATGCTGCTGAGACTTCACGAGCTTATCGACCGGCGTTATCTCGCAGATAACACAAGACACACATCAGTCCTCACACCCGGGCGCACCGACGACCTCGGTGTTGCCGTCAAGCACGAGTTCCTCGGAACAAGAGACCGCAACACTGTCTTAATGCATGAGCATTATTTTTCTTTCTTGTTTTGAAACTGCTCAAATGAGTACGAGACTCACGAATCCTCCTCGGATGTCGAGATTCGGCGCAGCTCGGATCGCACTTGTCTTCCGGAAACCCCTTCACACGTGCGGAAAGAAAACAAACACAAGACTCCCATCCACTTCCGTTGCCGCAGGGCGCGTCAATCTGGCCGGAAGTGGCGAGAAATGCGAGACCCCCCCCGACAGCGGGCAATTTTCAACAGATGGCACTGCTATCAGCTCTGCCAATCGAATCGAACGCGAGGCATCATTCTACCAAGGCTTTCGTAATTCCGTTTACACCTATAAAGCCTGCTTTCCGCTGTGTTAGCCGCGCTGCAGACCACAAGGGGGAAAAGAGCCAACCTGCGCGCCGGAGAACTGCGTAAAAACGGTCCAACTCCTACATTTGATTTGCCCTTACACTTCGTGCCAAAGAGCTGTCTCCATAAAGGTGCAATCTACGTGAATCCAAAAGGTATACTTAAATTAACAAGACAATGCGACAAATTGTTCTTTCGGAAGACAGTTCTGTGTCCGTCTTCAGGTCGCCGGTTTGAGGGCAGAAAAAGCCCTCCTCATCGAGCTAGTCTCAACCCGACACGATGATAAATCTTCTTGTGTCATGAAATTGTCCAAAATACAAATCTTTAATGTTCAAAGCGTTATTTCCACAAGAGACTCGTCGTTATCGCAGATGGCGGCCTTGCGAAATCTTAATCCGGTTCCATTGCCACAGCAACGCCTCCTGTGTTTGTGCATTCCTCACACCGAGACAGGGCAAGATAAGATAAAGGGAGCTCTCCCTTTGCTCGGTTTTCCAAATGCACGCCCAGGGGTCGCAAACCGAACGTCCTTGTTCGCAGGTACGCCCGATTCAGACGAACTTTGGGTTCGCACCAGTCCTGCCAGTTTCACGTAAGACCTGAAGGCACCCTGTAGAGCAGACATTCCGCTCCGCCGGTCACCTGGCACCGCAAGGTCACCAAGGAGACGACCACGCCCGTCACACGACAATGCCACTAGGTCGCGTCTCCATCATCTAAGGACGCATTCTGTCCTCCTCTGATGGACACGAGGAACTGCCCAGTTCAATCGAGAACTAGGTCGCCTCTCGCTGGCACCGAAAGACTTGTTGAGCAATGGCCGAACCTGTTCGCAACAGCCGTCCTCATTCACAGCCCTGTACCCGCGAGTCGACGAACAAACACGTCTTGTTTTGCTTGCAGGTGACTGCGCCCCGCTCTGGGGCAAGTCTCATTTATCTGTGAGCAGGATTCGACCTTACGGGCGTTCAAGATGATGTTTGCCGATGCACCTAAAGTCTACACGGCAAAACGCCAACACAGAGGCGTCTGTATCGAATACTTTATGTGGCGAGTCTGAAGATGGCGATCTTCTAGCATGACCGACGTTTCGGAGGTGGTTACAGCCCTCATCATCAGAGAAAACCACTTCACCCATCGCAAACGGTTATGAACCATATAAATCACGGTCACAGTACTGGTCAAGGCGTTCTTTGCACGCAGAGATGCGGGGGGGCGTTGCCCTCCGTTGTTTGTACGAAGAATCCTGCTTCATGCAGGTCAGCGCACGGGAATCCGGACAAGTGACGGTCCGCGAGACGCAGCAAGGCTTCAACCGGCTTGTTCCGAAATTAAAAAGAAAGAACGTAGCGCAACCGCAGAAGGACCTCAACAGAGAAGCGGCACGCGTTTTCCCTCAAACCCTTCCGTACCGCAGAAAAAACCACAATAAGAAATTCGTCCGACCCCTTCTTCTGTCTGCACACTGGCATGTTCGTAATTTGCAACACGAAAAGGCCGGTTTATGCCAAGAAATCAAATCGTACGAAGATCTGGCAGTATCTAATTGCATTTTGAACTCAAATATCCTCTAAATATATAAGAATTCAGTTCGTACCGCGAAGAGAACATAACTCGTCTCCATGACAACAAACTACTGGTTAACGCTGTTCAGTTATAAAATCGTGTTTATTCCAAGAATCACATTTACACGCCTTGCGGGTAACACGCAGAGTTAACAACCTTCAAAGCAGATGGTACATAAAGTTACCACCGGGGTTTAAAGGCCTCCTTGCCAGTAGTCACTGAATACTTACGAGAACAAACAGTTCCGGACAGCCAACAAGGGGAGACCAAACACCACGTAAAATTAAGTTGGGAGATGTTACACAACGCCTCGGATGAATTCTTTGGAACGTTCGTCTCTCGAGGGAGGCGGAATTAGCCTTACACAGATCGGACATTCTAGGCGAATGGCTGTCTTCTGGATTGTTGCGCAGTGCAGTCTGGTAGAAGTTTAGCGACGTTTCAGAGACAGGTTACTTTCTGCCTGCATCATCAGGACGATGAGTCAACCCTGGTGATGGACGCATCAAGGACATCTGAAACGTCGGTAAACTCCTACCAGACTGCACTGCGCAACAATCCAGAAGACAGCCACCTTCTCGCAATTTCCTGCCCAGACGGGAAGAACAGGTTCTTCCTGGCCCGCTGAAAAATGGCCTGTTCCGTCAACTGCGTACTAACTGAAATGGGAATACCGGAAGGCGCTCCACAGACACACGCCCATCATTCCACCTGCAATGTTCAGGCAAAGAGAGCGATCCGGGCGTGGAGACGGGGCTCCACACGTTTACAAGCGTTGCTCCTTGATCCGGCACAACAAACACGAGTTGTCTTGACACGCTGTGAACGCGCAACGTAAAGCTCGTGTTTGTCCAATCCAAAATTACCTGACGGAATTAGAATAAATATGGAGCATAATTGTTATGCGAATGTGATTTTGGTACAATCTATACTTTTGCTTTGGGTGCAGTTCAAATTGAACTTTATAAAACACAAGGAATCATGCAAATCTATTTATAACATTTTCTGGAGTGTTGAATATAGAATGACATCCGAAGGGGCGCACTTTCCCACTCCCTAGACACAGCAGCTGTGGGGTTATGTTTGCAATGACTGAACATCAAGGCCAGTTCCCGTGTTTTAAATTTGAACTGTCACTTAATGTCGCTGCGTGGTCTCGTGGGCCGAAATGAGAAGGGGTGGGGAGGTCTTAGCAGGGCATCTTATGGGCACCACACGCCCTGGGAACACTCTTTGTTCCTGAACTGAAAAGTGGGACTCACAAAGCAACCAAGAACACCGGAGGTTCGTCACTGGCTCGTTCCGTATAAGTCACAATGCAGATCAAACTCCTCCGTTTCCAATCACAAAACTGTGATTATGTCAAGGTGATTGGTATATAAATCATCTGAACGGCCCGGACGTGGTAGATTACAAAAACGGCGAAAGTTTTAAAAACTATTCAAATTATTATTATTATTATTACCCACACTGCTTGTGGCGCGATCTGTCGTTGTAGCCCACTGAAATGATGACATCAGCGCACCGTCCCGCGGAAATATGTTGCTGAATCAGATCCTGACATGGCGGACGGCAGGCTCGAACAAATGACCTCTGAACAAACGCCCCTGCCATACAACGCGACACATCGAAATTTCCTGTTCTAGCATTTCACAAGACCTCTCCGTCTTTCGTGGAAACCAAGCATCTTTCCTGCAGTCACATGCTCAAAGAATGGGCATTGACCTGGTCACCCCTGGAGGCTGATACGTCACGAGACATAATTAAATTTGACCCAATCATTCCGACAGTGACAAAACAATGCGCATTTAAGCGTCCCGTTATTGTAATTTCTTCACAAACACAGCAAATGAACGGCTTGTTGAGTGAAGTAGCGAAAAATAAAAAGACGGGGCTCTTATATGAACATCAGACCCCTCAGTTTGAAGGCCGGCTAGGTGCGACACTCCCTCATGCAAGATTCCACAACTACAGCTTCCTTACCTTCGAACAATCCAACACAACTGGACAGCGGCTTTCTACAGATTCACGTGCCACATAAACTGCACTTCAAGCACTGAGAATGTACTTGATCACAAAATTTAATGTCACAATCACGCACAAAACACACTACGCGGTTTCAAACTGTCAACATTGGCCTGAGCTAAGCAGGTGCCGAATACAGATATTGTTTCTCCATATTTACGAGAATGTCTGTGACGCCATCTGTTAGAAGGCATGTATATTAGTGAAACCGGAAATCGGATATGTAGCTCTAGCTGCCATCTACTGGATAGTTGAAAGACAATTGACGACGACTGTGTACAGGGGTGGGAAAAAGAGTCAACTATAGCATCAACGTACCTCACGCCGTCATTGACAATTGTATTACAGTAACAATCTGAGAATGCAATATCGTAATCGACAGTCGATTTTCACCAGATAATCACTTTCCTGTCCCAATAAACTTACTACGCGTCAAATATGAATATTGCAGTTTAATTTTATTTCATGTTTAGAAACCTGCCGTTACATTTTTATGCAATCCTACACAACCTATTAACATCTCTTCTGCTATCCTCTTTCAAGCACTTGGTATGGAAATATTTAACTACTGCAATGTAAGCTATGGATGAATAGACCAAGAGGCAGATGCTGAGTACACAATGTAAAACATTTTAAGGCACTGAATATTTGTCCCAAACTTCAGACGTGAAGCTTTCACAGTGACTGTGCAATCAAGTCCTCTTGGGTGAAAATCTATGTCAGAACAGAGTTGTAATCCAACATTTTGGAGAATCTGTGCATTCATCATTTGGATTAAAACTTCTTCACATAGCTAGCCTAGTTCATTCAGCCTGTATATTACAAGACTATATACATCAAAATAGTGTTAATACTTCACAGATTTTGCATCATCTGTTGAATTCTTCCCACATATAACAGTTGCCACTCTCTGGGTATGACTATATTGATATTGTCAGCTCTAGCCCTATTAGTCAAAAAACTACTGTCATGTGCTCCTGCTAAAAGATCAACATCTACCACCATCTACATATCTTCCTGTTTTTGAACCATTTTGTTGATACCCAAGTGGTTTCTCTACTACCCGAGGCAAGACTGTCATACCTTCATCATTGTGCCAGCTAGCCGAGGTTACCCATCTGTTGTTGCAGCATAATTTATTATGGAATGGAAACAACTCCAGGATTGTTACAGATTTACAAAATTGAAGATATCTTCATTTCTTGGTCTCTGAAAGATCTGAGGTCTATGCACAAACAAACTCACTGCCCTGATAATGGAGGCAGGCAGCAAGCACCTTTGAAACACTGGTACATTTCTACCAGACTACATGGCATGACAATCCAGAAGATAGCCATCTTCAGACTCACTGCCATGAAAACCTCAAAGCCTATAATCATACTGTAGAATAAATACATTTTTTTTCCATCTTTCTCTGAAAATAAACTAGGGACACGTGGCGTAGATTACACAACATGTAAGTTAAACACTGCAGAAAAATGCTAGAAGTAAATTCCACTGAAAACTGTTAAAGTTTAGAATTATGATATAGTATTTCCTGTACCGCACACCTACTACAACAGCCAACGAAACTCAGCAAATATGTAGTAAGTCCAGAGTACCACAGCTGAGACAGTATTGGCCAACTACAAATTATTAGCACAATTTCCCTTCATTTATAAATAAACAAGCCACCACTGTATATTTGACAACACCTTTATTTATCTAATAAATGTGCTACATGAAATAGGTACGAGGTTTCCTCACAGAGAAGCGAGGCAACAGGTTCCTCTGCTGAATACGTTTCGGCAGAGGGAATCTGATCTTGGAATTGTGGAACTGCTTGACCAGAGGACGTCGACAGTTGGCAGCCTTCACCTGCTCCACCTTGATGATCTGGATCGAGTGTGCTCGGGCCCGGTGCCGAGCCCCCATATCCCGGTAGCACTGGGTCACAGCCCCAGATACGCTTAGGTCACGATACTCTCGGTACATGTTGTGAGTGCCAGATCGCGAGTCATAACGCAGCCAGATGCCAAAGTTCTTAATCTTGACAGGGGACTTCTCTGGAATCTGGACATCAAAAATGAAAATGACTGGAGTTTGCAGCCTTCACAGTTTAATGTCACCCTCTACATCAAACCAAAATAATTTCTGTGGATGTCTGAATCTGCAAAGGTTATGTGGAATGAGCGATTAAAGGCAGAGGATGGGTCAAGTCAAGGATGATTCATTCACAGCATTTATCTGGAACTAAGCAAGTTCACACAGCAGCAGTTTTATCCAAAGTTTGAAACACAAACCTTGAGTACATTAACCTGCACTGTTTTCAGATTTTAGTTACAAAAAGTAAATCAAAACAATTTCTTTGTAACAAACTGCATATAACTAATCACTCACCTGTTTTATGGAAACAATTTCTCCGGTTGTCTTTTTAAACTTCTTTAACTGACGAAGGAAATACCAAAACCTTGATTTTGCCACAATGGCATCAGGAGCAAAGATCCTCATCTTATACAGAGGAGTCACTTTCTCCTTTTCTGTTGGCAGTTTACGCCCAATTACTTCAAACTCTTTCAACTGGAAAACAGAAAAAAAAATAATGTACTGAAGACAAAGAAAGTGCAACCCTAGCATTCAAATATAAGGACAGAGGTTATAAAGCAGAGCAAGAAACAGACACCTCCAAATCAAATGTCAGGTACACTTGATAAAAATATTTCACATGATTAATGCATTACAAAAGATTTGAGGTTTTCACAGTGGTGAGTATAAAGATTTCTGTCTTCTGGGTTGTTGCGCTGTGTAGTCTGGTCGATGTTAACCAACGTTTCAGAGGTCATGCTGCCTCCGTCATCAGGGCAATGAATATGTAGATATATCGCCCTGATGACGGAGACAGTATGACCTCTGAAATGTTGGTTAACATCAACCAGACTACACAGCGCAACAACCCAGAAGATAGAAATCTTCATATTCACCACTGTGAAAACCTCAAATCTTACATTAACTCTTCTATCAGTCATAACAAGTATGTGAAGTTTATCTGAATTCTTTATACTGTAGTGGTTTAATGAATCTTGTGTCATGTAGGTGTCCTGTTCATGTGACAAATCTGTTTAATTGTGTTATAATGTAAATTATGGCCTGAGGATGCATTACTGGTATCACAAAAGCAACTGTGCAATTTAAAGGGCAATTGGCATTAGCAGACAACTCTTCCTCCTTATCAGCCTGTGAAATCAAGGGTTTACTGTACAGGGTTTAATTTTAACAGACAGCTCAGCATAACAGTCTCCACTTTTACAGCCTGTAACGTTAGCAGTTGATGTGTGAATATCATATTTGCTTTTTGTACTAACTGCATAAGGCTCTCATTTTAAAGTAATTCTAACCTGTGAATTATAAGTATTATTAAAGCTAATAAATACTCACTGGCTACATGGAAGCAATTCCTAATGTTTACAGAGATTCTATTCTGTAAGCATGTGCCATAACGCCAATGAATTTGTACATGGAATACTTTTTAACTGTCACAAGAGAACATTATACCTCATGTCATGGTAAGAGTTGAAGTACTATACTTTGCATAGGAGCCATATCGAGAAACATGTCACACTACATACTCGCAAAATCAGCACACGTCTTTTCCGATCTAGGGAACCATTTCTAATTTTTCAAACGAATAATATCATAACAATCACTTCAAATGGGACTAAGAAACTACTTTCGAACAAACAATAGCAAAGGAATCGCCACATGCCCATGCAACATCCAAAATGGCCGTTTCGTGTATTTCTGAGGAAGAAAAAGTTTCCTTAACTACAAGAAATATATGTGTGTCATTATTTAGTACTTTCCCTAACACAAGTATATAACAGATTATTTTTATACATTTTAATTACCTCTCCTTTAGCTTTCATGCTGCTTAGTTGCAGGAACGGAAACGGAAGGGAAACTATCACGGATAAACTAAACGGCCACAGTCAATACAATCAATACCAACACTACTTATTAGCTGGTTTGGCAGGTGATGTCTTTGCACGGCCGGCCGCGAAAATTTCAAAACCCAGCTAAGTCATTCTAGTTGGATATACGCCGGTTGTACCCACACCCAATCCATTTTTTACATTTTGTGTGCTTTTCTTATTATTATTACATCCATGATCCAGTAACAGGTTATGTAGGTGCATGTGCTGCTTAGGGTTGTGTTGGCTCCTCTGTATAGCATGGAGAATTTGAATTTGTTAGGTTACGTATTGTGAAGACAACGATAAAAGTAAGGATAATTCATAAGCGACCATATCCACCAACACTTTCTGACAGAGAAGAAAGGTTGGGACAGTGACGTAGCTATTATAGACGAACAATTTAAGAGGGTAAGCAGAAACTGTGAACCAATCAATTACAGTACTTTAACAATAAATACATGGCTCACGTTTACCAATGTCTGCCACTACAAATCTCTCATACCCGGTGGCCCAGTCACTATTGGTAGACCTGAGGTACACGTGGCTTACTAGGAGTGGAGGGGGAATTCCTGGATTGATGTTTAGGTCTGTTTCTGTATGAAAGTGCCGGATACGAAAAAGAAACATCTACACAATTTCACCTGTTACATTCACAGTCGTGATAACATTGTCTTGGACGACAACGTTTATTTTGGAGTATTAGTTCAAAGGAAATATCGATTTCATCATTTTTTGCAAGGGCAAATAAACGCGGAAGTATATAATTCAGTGTAAGTAATGAGGCAATACATTGGTGTTACGTTGGTCCAGCTTAATGGTTTTAGGAACGTATCGCCTCTATGTTAAGGGAATCTTGACGACAAGAGATGTCAATGGTTTGTACAAATATAGCTGTTATGATTTAGAGGGTGTCTTAAAAGAATTTTTATAACAGGCTAATGTAAAGAGCTGGAATTATTCGACAAGCTGTTCACGAATTGGAGGAGTGAGTGAACAAACTTGCAGCCCATGAGTAATGTTAGGATTTTCCGTTCAGCGTATTTATATAGTCATGCTTTTAATCTAAGGAAATAGAACCTCTTGAGAAATGCATACATTTATGAAACGGAATATATTATGAGGGAAGCTTTTATAAACAATTTAAAGAATTATGAGTGTTGAACTGGTCAAACTATCCATGCCCCAGTGCATTAAGCAACCTTTGCAGTCTTTTACCCTACCTCAAGGTGACAAAATGTTTGCACCAAAATATAACTGGATGATTATTGAAAATAATGTAGCAGGCCAGACTTGCCTCATTATTCCAGTATTATGCTGTGCAGGAGATGGAGGACGATACACAAGATGACTTCAAGCCACGGCCATACCAGGAACTACTGATGAACTTGGTAAAACAGCAGAACACCATAATTTACCTTCCCACTGGTTCAGGCAAGACATTCATAGCAGTTATGCTCATCAAGGAACTGTCACCCAGCCTTGACAGGTGAGTGTTTGCTTTCTTGACATCTTCTTCCCATTTGGACTATCATTGTACCTGTGTCTGGTCTGTTTCAGAGGCAAGCGCTCCTTCTTCATGGTGAACACAGTCGCACTGGTGAGCCAGCAGGCTGCATACATCAGGCGCCACTCTCACCACTCTGTGGGGGAGTACTCGGGCGATCTCAATCTTGACTTTTGGACCAAAGAAGTTTGGCAGCAGGAGTTGTCACAGAATCAGGTACAGTTTCCAGACAAAGCTGTCTGTCCAAATTGGTTTTCTCTCGTGTCGTCTGCTGTATGTTTTTTCTTTTGTGTGCAGATTTTGGTGATGACCTGTCAGATATTCTTGAACATGCTGATGCATGGATATATCGATTTGTCAGAGATAAACCTTCTCATATTTGACGAGTGCCATCATGCCGTGAATGACCAACCGATGCGACAGGTAATGCAGCTGTTTGAACATTGTCCCCGGGAACTGCAGCCACGTATTCTTGGGTTGACGGCCACCTTACTCAACAGCAACTGCAAATTTGGACGTGTCAAGGAGGAAGTACGCTCGCTTGAGAAGACATTCTTGAGCAAGGTGGCCACATGTGAGAACATGCCTGTGGTGGGCAGGTACGGTTGCCTGTGTTGCCTGACACCAAATTCCGAGTCCTATCTTCTATTATTTTAATTATAAAACAATATGTGCAGTAAACACCTGACGTTTGTATATGGCCTGTAATGAGAAGACAATTTTATGAATGTTTTTATGCATTATCATTACAATATTGTAAGTCAGTTAATTCCTTTTATTCCTCTTGGGAACATAGGGCTGATATAAAGCTCCTCGACCTCACTCGGTTGTTGGCGAGTGCCTTTATTTCCTTCCAACTTTTGCCCCGTGATCTTGCTTCCTTTTCAATACATCTCCGCCATTACAATATTGTAAGTAGTATAGTAATATGTATTTGGTTGTAATGAGGGTATTATTTCATCATCATTATTACAATAATGCGCACCCGTGACTGTTTTCAGCATTCATGTAAATAGAAGCCTGCTTTTGTGGTATAATCACTACTTAATTGAAGATATCCGTCTTCTGGGTTATTGCGCTGTGAGAACCTCAAGTCTTACACTACTTAATTATTTTATGCAAAATGAGTCTTCATAATTTTCTGTATTGTGCAAAGTCTGGCAACATGGCAATGTTGCTGCTACATGTCCGACTGGCAGTGTGGTACCATGTATTATGAGTGGGCTGTACCAAATGAAAAGTATCCAAGTAGGGTTTGAGGTTTTCATGGCATCGAGTCTGAAGACGGTTGTCTTCTGGGTTGTTGCGCCATTTAGTCTGGTAGAAGTTTACCGACGTTTCAGATACGTGCCAAGGACCTCTGAAACATTGCTAAACTTTTCATTCAATTTCTGATATGACTGAACATTGAAATAGGTAGTGAATCTATGAATCAAGTTTCCATTCACCTGCTACTGTCCACTCATGAGAAAAGGAGCATCTGAGGTATCTAGCAATCTTTTCTTCATGTTGTGCGTTGCATGACAAGCTGTTACTTAGCACTTCACACTAAGTACGTACATTTTTACAAGCTTTTCTAACGCCCCGATTAAGAATTCTTATTGACGTTTTCTTTAACTAATGGTATTATATTACTATATGCACTACCACTGTCATCGTTTACGTCTGCTGACTGACAAAGCCTGACACAACACTTTCACTTCTGATGAGCGTATGTGTTCTATGTTACTTGCAGATACTCAACAAATCCTGATGAGAAAGTAGTGTTCTTTGATGAAGAGTACAGTGGACCAGGCCTGTCAATTCTGAATGAAGGTCTTGAATATTTGAAGAAGGCCCAGAATTTTGTAGACTGCATCCTATTTGACTCAGATGAAGTAGTGGCACATGGTCATCGACCACCAAACACGACACTTCTGAATACAGGTTACAAGAAGACAAATAAAAAGTTAAACAACATACTTATGGATGTAATTATTCACATCAATATGCTTGGCCTGTTTGGGGGTAGTCAGGCGTGCGTGGCACACATCATTCAGCTTCAACGCCTGCGCAAGAATGCGGAGGACAAAATCACAAAGGATGTGTTCAGCGCGCTGATCACCACTCTTGTGGCAGTAAGGTAACGTCAGGTGTGGGTTTTATGGTCTCTTACCTTTAGACCCAAGTATGCTTCACAGTGCATTATTTTCACAGAAGTGGTACAATATTGCAGGAAGATGTTTGAGGACGAGATGTCAGACTATGAGGTGAAGACACAGATTCATAAGTACTCATCCCATAAGATGTTGAAACTAATTGAGGTGCTGAAAACTGCGATGCCCAAGGACAATTTGGAGGACAGCACCAAGATGGATGATGATTCTGATGATATGAGTGAGAATTATGTATCACACCACCTCGCATGTGAAAAGAAAGGGAAGGAAAACAAGTTCTGCACCATTGTGTTTGTTGAACGGCGCTTCACGGCCAAGATAGTGTACTTGGTGCTTAAGGTAAGTACAATGTTGTGTGGGTGTTGAGAATGGTGCCAAGGGAACGATTTGAACCCGAGAGGGAAGCAATAACAAGAGGCTGGAAAAATTCTCTTCAGTGAGGAGCTTCATAATTTGTACTCTTACCTATATATTATTAGGGTAATTAAATTAATGAGGATGAGATATGGAATGAATATAGAATTGTAGTTTGGAAATCTGAAGGGAAGAACCGCTTGGTAAACCTTCAAACAGATGTGAGACAATATAATAAAAATGGCTCTTTAAAAAATTGGAAGATGACAGGGTGTGTACTGGCCAGTGGTGGGCTCTGGAGAATCACAGTAATAACCCTTTTCCCCCTCCCCCCCCTCCAAGCAGCGGATTTCATGACTTAACTTCTCAACAAGGAATTGTGGTACTCCATGGATTTAATCAAGTCGGGTCCTAACGAGCAAGGACCGTGCCACTCGCACATCTCAGGGTCAGTGAGAAATTTTGATTGGTAGGAAAGACTGAAGAAATGTGCCCAACCTGAGATCTGACTTTTCCATCCCTAATTTCATTGTAAGCATTCAATAAATTTACTACTGTTGGCCAGATGTTTAATCAGAGTATGTGACCTCTTAATCTGTTTCAGACCACAAGCCATTCCCTTGAACTTTTCCCATCTAGGAATGCCCCGTCTCAGTTACAGTCATGTTGATTTCATTTTCTCATCTGCAACTTTCTTTGATTTTTGCAATATTTTATCCAAGATCTTATAGCTTCTCAAATTCATGGTTTGGACACAGTGTGATACTTTGAGTCTAGTTCCTCAGGACAAATATAGACTCCACCTGATATGTCAGTTTGTGTGTGCAGGCCCTGAGAGAGGAAGACAAAGATTTTAACCACATCAATCCGGATTTCATTGTTGGCTTCAATAATAACCCATTCAATGATACGCGGGAGGGCTCTTTGACGAAAAAGTGGATCGAGTGCACTGTCAAGAGGTAGGAACACATTTTCATATCAGTTGATATAAATTTTAATTGACCATTTCCCATGAAGTTCTGACCCACAGTCCAGGTAACTAACTGTATTTTTGTTTTGCTGAGAACTATATATACACAGCTTTATAAATAGGAAGCATCCATTTTAGTACTGGAGTGCGTCTAGGTTATTGGTTTGGATTCTGCTGCATACCAATTATGAACAGGGGTGAACACAAGTTAGTTAATTAGGCAACAAATCTGATTTGTACTTTGAAGTTACGTGCTCAGGTGCTATCTGGGCACTAGCTTCAGATTTGTATGGGTATCTTTGGCTCATATAGAGGCTATGAACATGTCCAAAATTTCCCCTCTTCACTATTGCTGATATTGCTAGCAGCCTATCTGGTGAACTTTGTTATTGAGACATGTTATACTAGGGAGGGTTGCCGTTGCAAAAAGTTCCCCACCCCCCCAGGCAGTGGACGTGTATTATCATGAGAAGGTTAGTCAAGTTTCTGTAAATTCGTTGTCTCTAATTAGTGTCTGCGTCATGGACGAGAGTGCATTTTAAGATTCGCGTCTTTCGGTGAATCTCATTCAAACAGAGAAAAGGATAACTTCACGTGAAAGCGTACGGTTTGCACTGCGAATATCCGATAATCAATACAGCTGAATTATAAACATGTTTTTTTAGGTGGGATGTAGGCGGAGGCTTTGTACCAACCAAAATCAGTCCTCAGCCTTCCCCATGCAAAATTAGTGCAGCCATGTAATCCAGGTGTTTTTCTTGATGTCCTTACGTAATGACTACCATGCAACATGCTGCATTATCAGTTCTTTGTCACTATACCTATAAACATCTTCAGCATTAAATAGGGGAACTAATACGTATGTCTGAGCTTGGTGGTGGGTGCTTTGGTTGTCAGATTTCTGAAAGGCGAGACAAATATTTTGGTGGCATCTGATGTGCTCGAAGAAGGTATCGACATCCAAAAGTGCAACCTGGTCGTGAAGTTTGACATGCCAAAGAACTACCGTTCATACATACAGTCGAAGGGAAGAGCACGGCACCAAAGCAGCAAGTACTACATGATGGTGTCCTGCAGCTTGGCGTCACCATTCAGACTAAAGTACCAGGGCTACACGCAGACAGAGAAGGAAGTGCAGAACGTAAGTACAGCCAAGAATTCAGAAAAAGGTCAGCAGCTTTGTGTAATACATTTTAGGAAAACAGTAGTACATGTGATACCAACCATGTTGTAATCTGTGGTGATGACTTCATAGCAAGTTCAGACATGTTGGATACAAGATAACAGTTGTAATCAATGCTGACAATATCTTTTGTTATATTCATAAACCTACAGAACCCTAATGCAATGGGACAAAATTAAACTTTCATGCGACTTAGTAATCTCTAGTGAACAGCGTTATTGTTCAGAGCTTGGGGACTGAATGACTGGGTAGACCCTGTTTCTGTTATAGGTGCTGGTTGGATGCACAGAGGAACGCCAGGAGCCAGAGGACGAAATTGCAACGGAGCTGTATGACCACGTTATGCCTCCGTATGTCACGACCTGCTCGAAAGTCACCCTTGTATCCGCCATTACTCTCATCAATTGGTGAGTGCATCTGCCAGAAAAACTTCAAAACTAGGAGAATCTGGGTGGATCTTGTAAAGGATCAGTATTCATATGTTTGGATTATGTACCGAAAGTACTACACAAGTCGCATGCCATAAGACTGAACACACGGCATTCGTGTGTCTAGACAGTGGAACTGAGAAGGCTGGTGCTTTTAGTTGGCCTTCATTAGAATACGAAACAGACTTGAGTGTGATATGTCAGGCACATGAAGTGACTGACAGCTGCTGTTTATTGCAGGTATTGCTCCAGTCTGGCTCAGGACAAGTTCACACAGCTGACACCATTGTGGTACATGAGTAAAAACAAGACATCTGTGCACCTGCAGCTGCCCATGCCCTCTCCAATGCGTGATATTGTAGAGGTATGTTAAGTCTTTTACTCCTCGTTTTGTGGGGAAGTGTGCGCGCTCGGTCTGATAACATTCGTGTCCTTACAGGGACCAGAGATGTCAACAAAGAAGCTTGCAAAGCGTGCAGCAGCACTGGAAACTTGCCGCCGGTTGCACCAGATGGGGTTGCTCAATGAACACTTGCTGCCACATGGCACTAATTCCGACCTGTTGGATTCTAGTGATCTCTTTCCGCTGTATGTTGATGAGGAGCAGGAGGATGGTCCGCAGCCTGGCAGCGGCAAACGCAAGCGGTATCACCCAAAGGCAGTGAGTCAATCTGAATTCCTTACCATCAACCGCAATGCAACAAGAGATTTTTGTTTGGAGAACATAATGGATAGGTGGTAGAATACTTTGTGTATGGACTTTGGACATAAAAGATGCCTGTCAGTATAGAGGCCAGGTGGCATCTCTTCCATAAAGGGAGTAATTGATCTGCAGTGCTCTGGCAACTGTCAAAGGAATGTCGGCAAGAACTGTGTCTGCCATGTTTCTTTTTAAATGTTTCAGTTCCCACTGACATTGAGCAAGTGTCGTCCTATGGAGGAAGTTGAACTCTACCTGCATGCTATTGAACTACGGCCTCTGTATCCTCGACCCGATCACTCAAATAACCGGAAGCTTGTCTTCTACAACCTGCTGAAGCGTAGTGACGGTTTTGCCATCCTGTCTAGTAAGATGATGCCAAAGGTCTGTTCACATCAGGGCATTACATTGGCACATGTAGGAAGCTGGAAGATTAAGGCTTTTGACATTCTACTTGATTTTATAATGTACAGAAAAATGTATTATTCAATATATATGTCACTGAAGCCTGTAGCAGAGCTACTGCATGCAAATGGTTGTCTGATTTAATTTCCAGTTCGTGTATGTTCAAACTGAGGGGTGCTCTTTTTCTTTTTGCCATTACTTTGGAACTGAATGGAACAGCTGATGTACAGGTTCTGCATGTCTTATGACTGAAAGTAAAACACTAATCATAGAGTGAGAAGTGATCTGTGATGAAATTGGAGCAGAGTAAATGCATGCTATCATTCTGTTGTGTTTATCACTTTGTCTTTTCAAAGTCTTAATTAAGATTATTTCTCTCTATTGCACTGACAACATGGCAACATACTGATTGCGCCAACAGCTCTGTGACTTCTCCATATACATGAATGTGGGAGAACTTGGTGTCCACATTGAGAACAATGCTGTGCGCCTGCAAGTGACACAGAACGATGTCGATGCTCTGGGGAGGTTTAATGTCATGCTGTTCGATGAGCTGCTGAAACTCATGAAGCCATTTATGATGGTTGACACAGACAATGAGGAAAACTCGTACTTCGTGGTGCCCGTGCGTCTTGGTAAGATAACGCGTGTTTCGGAGGGGCAGTCGCTGCATTAAGGCAATGGCCCCCACTCTCATAATGTTATTTTTCTGTTTTCCCAATTTTCCACTGATCTCTTCACTATATCAGAAGATTCTCTTAGCCAGACTTGTATCTGCAGGAGAAGACGGGTGTCACGAGATTCTCTGGGATATCATCAGGCAGAACAGGAATCTGCCAAACATTCTGGAGCCCAGTGTGGAGGAACGTAGCGCAATGCAGGTGACCCCCGAGCTCTTCCAGGATTCTGTGGTGGCTCCATGGTATCGGGGCATGATGACTGACCAGGTGTGAACTCTTGTCACATAAACAGAGCTTTGCAAATTTCAGTGAAGTGAAAGGATTAAAAGTCATGAATTATCATCCCAGGCAATTGTCTGCAGGTTCAGTAGCTTAACCAAGTGGGATGGGTAATACAGAAAGTACCAGCCCTTCATATCTGTTACATGAAGGCATATTTCACATTTTCTGGTCTTTGGATGACTGCATGTTATTCAGTCACACTGTTTAAACATCATTTTTACTGTTGCAGAGCTACATTGTAACTTGTGTATGCCCACACCTTACCCCAGCCAGCCCATTCCCCTCAGAGGAATACACTTCGTATGAGGATTATTACAAGCAGAAGTACAAGCTGAGCATCATCAACAAGGACCAACCCCTTCTGGAAGTGAAGGCAATCTCAAACAAGATAAACTGTCTTCGTCCCAGGTATGACATTGATCTGTACTGAATGAGCTCTGACAAGATCAACTGTCCACATCCAGGTATCACATTGAAACGTCATATCAGTTGTTTACTGCAGAAAGTGACGTTCAGTGTTCTGGTTGCAGGAGTACCAAAGCCAGGAATGTGACAAGCAAACGCAAGCAGCAAGAACTGCAAGAGGACTTTGAGGAGAACTTAGTGGCAGAGTTGTGTGTGCATTTTGCCTTCCCTTCTGTCCTGTGGCTCAAGGCCACCTGCCTACCTACCATTCTGCACCGTGTCGCCAACCTTCTGCAAGCCGAAGAGCTGCGTCAGAAGATCGCGCGTGAGATCGGAGTCGGGTGCACTGAGCTTCCACCCGGTAAGAGAACATTCTGGCATGATGTCAAGCCAGGGTTTCACCACAGCACAATTCTGTTTCCCTGACTATCCTCGTGGTTCAGAATGAGTTTGTACGTTAGTAAAGCTGATGAAATGGGACAACACAATAGCTTGCTATACTGGACCGCATTTTTGTCATGTTGGCAGGCATGGAGTGGAAGCCATTGTCGCCGGATAGTTTCTGTCAAGCCAAGGAACACGAACCAGACTTGGCGATCAAAACAGCAAGTTTAATCCCTGGCATTTCATCCATGCAGGTCAGTGAACCTCCCAACCCACTCTCGTCCACTTTGTTTGATTGGGACGGAGACAAGGAGCCCGTTGACATCGACCGCAACATGCAGGATGTGACGCTCGTGGAAGTAAGTCGGACATTGCTTCCATATCTTGAAACAGGCTCAAAACTGAAGAGCCAGAGAATCACAGCTCAGTTTTGGTGATATGTTGCAGGTTCTCAATTATGATGACTTTATCAGTAAGCCCCTCAGCAAGAAATTTGCACAGATGAGTCTTCTGAGGGGTAAATATAGCCCGTGCAATTCTGCGGCAGTTCGTGATGATGAGCCAGAGTGTGACGTGCAGATTGCTATTCTGAACACCAGTATGACAGGCACTGGACCGGAGCAGTGTGAGATTCTCCAGGTACAGGCTTCATTATCAACCTCAGAATTACTTAAGCCAGGGCTTGAGCTGTTCACACTGATGATGTCTTTTATGGTCTTCTCCACCTCCTTGCAGATGCCAGGGTGGTACCATCACAACACAACTGCCTTTTTCCAAATCATTTAATGCCACATAACTACTTTGTCAAAACACTCATTATTTGAACCCTTTTGCCACCCATTTTTTTGTATTGTCTTCCTGAAACCCATTACGACAGGTTATTATGTATATAAATAAAAAACCACAAAAATTACCAACACTCCATCTAAACTCTGATTATTATGAAGATGGCTGTCTTCTGGGTTGTTGCACCATGTGGTTGATGGAAGTTTACGGACGTTTCAGAGGTGCTTCCTGCCTCCATCATCAGCTGAAGGTGGAAGCACCAAACACTTCTGAAACAATGGTAAACTTCTGCTCTCTGCAGGACCTGGTCTCTGCCGATACATGTATGTGGTGGAAGGACTGTCAAAATTGAAAAATTTTTCAAAATTTGAAACACATTTTCAAAAGAGTCGTAAATGACAAAAAGGAAAAGCTAAATATTTTATAAATTATTGAAAATTTGTTGGTAGTTGAAATTTTTCAATACTTTTTAGTTTTGTGCGCTTTTGAATATTTTAAAGCATTTTTCGAAAATTTTAATAAACTTGAATTTTTTTAAAAAATAACCAAAACCGGTCTCTAACGCACCCGGTCTCTGACGGACCCTAAAATTTTCGAAATATTTGAAAATTTTTTTGAACTTAAAAATTTTCAAAAATGAAAGCCATCTTCATACTTTGGTGCCATGGGAACCTGAAATATCAGCTGATTTTTATATTTGTAAAACTATTTCAGAATCATGCAATTCCTTAAAATTGAGAAATACTACCACAGTTGTCAGAATCATCACTCACAACTTGAAGATTTCAGTAGCATAACGGCACTGTGCAGACCAACAAGACTGCATTGTTATAGCCCCTGGAGTGACACTACCTATCGCAGTGACCGCAGTCGAATGTCACGGCTACCGACTGTAGCTGCTGCCGCTGCATAGTGCAGTCTGTGTTTGTTGCAGGCGCTGACCAGTGCATCAGCGAATGACATTGTGAACCTGGAGCGCTTGGAGACACTGGGTGACTCATTCCTGAAACTGATGTCATCACTGTTACTGTTCACGGAGTACAAATTGTTGGGTGAAGGACAGCTTACGGAGGTCAAGGGCAAGATCATTGGAAACCGAAACCTCTACTATTGCGGCATCAAACAGAACCTAGGAGGGATCATGAAGGTACAATTGAGCAGTGTATAGAGGAAGTAAGAAATATGTTCCCACTGAATTAAAAGCCATTAAGAATGAATGTTGGTCAGACAAATGTGTGAAACTGTGATATGAGATTATACAATCGGCTGGAAAGGATTGTAACTACTTGAAAAAGACGGCGACGTGCTGAATCGAGATCAGTGATTTTTATCGTACTCTTACAAGCCTGAAATTCAGCTTACATTAATGTAATTTTCGTGGTGATTTTAGGATGTTTAAAGTTGGAATATGAGATGATGTTTTGTGTCTGTGACTATCCATATATGTACATGAGTGCACCTGTCTGTAAGTCTGTGCTACATTTTCAGCCGTTGGGCTAGTGACTGATTTTCTTGAACTTTTGTTATGTCACCCAACCTCATACATGTTAATTTCCTATAACCAATATTAGAAATGTGGCAGAAACATGAACTTTATGAGGTAGGATCAATGGGTGTGCCACTTAATGAGTTATGGTGTTGGATTTTTGAGAAATATGCAACTTGTAGTCATATTTATATTTTTGAACAGCCTACATGTAACAGCATGGCGCCCATACAAACTTCGATGAATGTTGTTTTGAACAGCCTACATGTAACAGCATGGTGGCCATACAAACTTCGATGAATCATGAACAGAATTTGTACCTCTAATGTTCTTTCTAAAAAGAAAACAATTATAACAACAGTCTGTACAGTTGCAAGCAATAAATTATTACCTGATATTGTGCTAACTAATCACCGAGCTTAATTACATTTTAGTAAAAACAAAGTCTGTCAGACTGCACAGTAGAAAAAGTTGGGTTAGAAATGCTTTTATTATTTTTTTGTTTCAAATAAACTAAGGACACGTAAAAATGAAGGTACACCTCAAAGACTTTGTTGCTGAAATTGAGGGAACAATAAGGACTGAGTGTGTCTGAGAATTAAAAAGCTGACATAGAAAGAGAGAGAAGAAAATACAAGAATGAAGGAGCTTCATGATATTGTTTTGAGTGGTTGAATGAAACTGATTTAAGTTCTTTGCATTAGCAAACAGGAGGGTCACATAAAAATGAGTCCTCATGGTTTGAATGAGAATGGACTGGCTGGCTTCTGGTAGCAAAGTGCTGTGCCTTGTGCTTACGTACTAAGAGAATGATTATGACTGCCTCAGTTGAAATTAGGCTGGTTTTTTCCCCAAGTCCTTCATGATCACTTCCTGGAACACCACCCTCATCACTTGTTTGTTTCAGGTGCATGACTTTGGGCCCACATCTGACTGGATCCCTCCTAGCATGTGCCTATATCGCAAGCTGCAGCAGTTGATGCGGAGTGTCAAGGTGAGTCCCAACATCCTGTATGAGCTGCAAATCCCCAAGGAGGAACGGCTGAGTGGGAAGCTGAGCAGGGACACAATCTCTGACATTGAGAACAAGCTGATCTCTGCAGATGAGGATCGGGCGGGCATCCATTCGTCAATGGAGATCTTCCTGTCCATACAGACTGTCTCTGACAAGACCATCGCCGATGGTGTCGAGGCTCTCATTGGCGCGTACCTCAAGGTGAGGCATCAGACATCTTTCAGGGTTTATTATATTTAACAGAGATATGTAAAGTGTTCTCGTGCATTTGTCTAGACAGACTTATTGTGGTCTTTTGCAGGGATGCTCCTGTGACAGATGCACACTTACTTGATACCAGATATTCGCTATTTAACTGAATATAACACATTCTGTAGAGCCACGATGGTGTAGTGGTTAGAATGCTGGCCTTGTAATCCTGGGGTCTCGGGTTTGATTCCCGGCGGTGCCCGAATTTATAACTTGTGTTGGGCAAGGCCGTGGTCTAGGCAACACGGAGTTTTCCTCTGGGGGCTTCCCCGGTTTCTCTGTGGCATCCCAACAATTACTCCATTCACACACAGAAGAAGGCAATGGCAAACCACTTCTGGATCATCTGCCAAGAACGTTTATGAACAGGTCCCAGTCCGAGAAAAGGATGGAAGGATCCTGTTCATATGGACCTGTCGCCAGACAGAACACCAAATAAATAAATAAAATAAACACATTCTGTATGGATGCAGCATGTAAAGCCTAATTTCCTATTGCACGCATTCTTACCATTGATAGTCATTTCTTTTTTAATTGTCGTGTTTTCATCCACAACATGAAATTAAATCAGTTTGTAAGATCATTGTAATTGTTTATATTCAGGGCAGTGGCATTCGTGGTGCTCTCAAACTGCTGGGCTGGCTTCAAGTACTGCCTGACACAATGGCCTCTCCCGAACGTCTGTTAGACAGATTGCCGCAAACTGCCTGCCAGCCAGGCGGAAAAATCGAGTTCCACCTGGAAGGAATCGGTGACCTAGAACGCCGACTGGATTACAAGTTTCGAGACCGCTCGTTCCTTTTGCAGGCAGTCACGCACGCCTCATATTCTGCCAACCGAGCCACAGACTGCTACCAGCGGCTAGAGTTTCTGGGAGATGCGGTGCTAGGTATGTGCAAGCATACCTTCTTTGTCAGGTCACATCACATCATTATATTAATAAGATTATGAAAGGGTTACCTTACAAAGTTCTACAAACTTTGGTTCTTTATCTAATTAAGTCTCATAGTTGCTATGCTTGTCACCACGAGTTCCCAGGCAGTGCAGTGTGCCCCATGTGAGAAGTGTGAGTCATGCCACTGCACTGCGTGATGTTGTGTTTTGCAGATTTCCTCATCACATGCCACATATATGAGTCATGTGGTCTGCTCACCCCCGGGGAGCTCACTGACCTGCGCTCAGCACTCGTCAATAATGTGACCTTCGCATCGCTGACTGTTCGTAATGGATTTCACAAGTTCATGAAATACACATCGCCTAAGCTCATGGACGTGGTAGATTCCTTTGTCAAGTTCCAGGAAGAACGTAACCACGTCATAAACGAGGAGGTTGGTTCATATTGCTATAATGTCGTGGCTTCTGCTGTGACACGGCAAGTCTCATCACATCCTGGCTGCCACAGTTTCAGCCTTTGCTGGGCCTGGAAAAACTTCTTTTCTCAGTTACAGTCCTCTTTTTATTTCAAGCAGATCACCATACCTGTCCCTTCTCATTCTTCAAAGGTTTGAGTAAAGTTTTTACACTAAACTCAAACCTTTGGGGTTCATGTTACATCATTGTGAACGGAAATCAAAATAATTGGACCATTTCTGTTGTAAACTCTAATAGTGGATTTTATTCAAAATGAAATGATCATCAAGCCTGCAGGTATGGTGGCGATAGTTACTTTCTCAAGCTGTGTGGTACTGTTGTCTGTGTAGGTGATTATCTTGCTGGAGGAGGAGGAGACAAATCTAGCTGAGGCAGTGGAGGTGCCAAAAGTACTTGGTGACCTTTTTGAATCCCTCGCTGGTGCCATCTACTTGGATAGTGGCCTCAACCTGCAGGAGGTGTGGCGTGTCTATTACAGACTAATGAGAACTGAGATTGGTAAGTCCTGTGATGTGAGCACACTTATCTCTGCCTATTTCTTGTGGAAATAAGATTTCAGTCTTGATTGATCTTATGATCTCCTTCACAGTCGAGTTCAGCAAGTGTGTGCCCAAGCAGCCTGTACGCCTCCTCTATGAACGGGCTGGGCAGAAGCCCAAGTTCTTCCAAGTACTCTCATTCTTTCTGGCACCATGTGGGAACAATTTTCTTCTCATTCCTCATCCTCATTCTCCACTTTCATCTTGTGGTTGGTTACCAGTCTCTTTTGTTCCCTGTGTTCCTCTTTATCTGACATACATTCATTCATTCTTCCTGATTTAACAGCCAATTTCATCACCTCTGTTGCAGACCCAGCAGACCTCATGATGATGTTGTGGTGGTCCCTGTAGGAGTGTTTATTAATGGCAAGAGGAGATGGTTCTATGGCTTTGGGAAGACTAAGACACAGGCGAAGCGAGCTGCTGCGAAGTGTGCCCTCAAGGAGCTCCCCCCAAAGTAGACAGGTGCTGTTTTCTTTCTTACCTGGGAAGGTATTGTTTTTTGTTACATTATACCATTTGAAGAACAGTTGAACATAAATTAGATGCAGTCTTGGGTGAGGTAAAACCAGTTCATGTCCCATTCACATTTTTTTATTGATCTGTGTCTCATTGTCCCAGTGATTACTGCATGAGGGACACACGCAAGAACATCTTTTCAGGCTACAGGCCGGACAACCAGGGTTCCATTTGTCGTAGGGGAGGACCTTTTTTTCCAGACTGACTTGTGAGGCCCACCCATCCTCTTTTCAGTGGGTTCTGGGGTTCTTTCCTGGGGCATGAAGCTGACCACTTGCCTCCACTGAATGGCGAGGTTAAGAATATGTGGAGCTGTATCTGCAATCCCCCATCTGCCTGCATGGTGTGTGGTGCTTAGTTGAGATCCAGGGACACTTCCCGTGTTCATTTGTTTCTCAAGTTCTCAAAGGAATCCTGTTGCTGTCTGTATTATATCTGACATTTTAACTGAAGTTAAATGTGCTGAATCTTCTTTGATGATCGAGTGCATCAGTACAGAAAAAAGAAATCCAGTGTTCAGACAGTACCTCCGTCTCCATCACCAGGACACGTTACCTTATTAGTCGATGATACAGACTGATCTCATACAGCCTTATCTTTGTTTTTCAGGAACTGGCCAATGCAAGAGCAATTACCTCACACCAAGTGTCTGTGAGTGGTGCAACACTGGATGGAATTTTTGTATGATGGGAGGCAACCCACTTGCAGTCCAGTGAACACCATCTTGTTTTGGATATATTATTATCTGTTAACTTCTGACAAATGGAAATGAGATATTTTGGAGTTTACTGACAGAAGGCTCTCCCCCCACCCCACACACATAAAAACTCATCTTGGAAAATGTTAGAACAGATGATGTCAAATTTCATATCTGTATTTACCAGAGAGACATCTGCAGATGTAACATCATTACAAAATGTGACATGTTTTTTTGAGAAGTGCCACTTCACAGCTCTCTGTGTCAGGACCAATTTAATTTCAGATGCTTAGTTGCAGGAAAACCTGAACTTCAGTTGATCAAATAACTGATTGTTAACTGTAACTCTTGATGTTAATGTTTTCATTCTCTTGGAATTTGTTAAGTCACTTGTATGTACTGCTAGTACGTGGGAAGACACTGTTATTATCCCATCTTGTGTGGTCAGGTTTGTGAAAATGTGTGTATTCTGCATGATTTTAATTAATTAAGTTTTAAGTTTTCCACAAAACTGAAAAAAAACATGAAAGTAAATACAGCGGAACCTCGATATACCGCGGCTGTAATCATTTCCCCCAATACAATTACATATGTTTTATGTTAGATAAATGTCACATGTAATGCGGGTACTGAAGCTGTCCCCCAAAACCCGCGTTATATCGAGGTTCCACCGTACCTACATGGTGCAACAACCCAGAATACAGCCAGCCAGCCACATTCAGATTCACCACTGTGAAAACCTCAAATCCTACTGATTAAAGTTTGTTGCAATATCACATATTACCAGTAACATTTTCTTTGCATTTTAGAACCTGTACAGTTCTCTCACTAATATACAACAGCCTGTCAGTGCGGACATTATGTCTGTATTGTGGAGAGCAGTCAGTCAGACCTTGTATTTGGAAGCCCCATGTTCAACTACTGACCATCCTGACGAGGTCGTATATTACAACAGGCCACCACAATACTGTTATCAGTTCATGTGTTAATGCTGTGAAGTTCATCTGAAGATATTCAGTTCCTACCCAAAAGAAAACAAAGAGTCTCCATTTCAAAAGTGAAATGGTAAGGGAAATAGTCACTGTCTGCTATGAGAATCATAATCCCTTCCTGTCTTGTTTTGTTCCAAACCACCGGACTTCTGACCATCTAATATTTAAAATTACTCTCAAGTGAAGGTATAAGTTTTGAAGAATAGTAATCAATAAAACATCAGTTATCTTATACAATTTCAGTTTCTAACTATGTGTGTTCTCAATGTCGTCTTCTTATTCAAAACCTGGGACCTGCACATCATGCAACACGTGCAAATGCGAAGCCCTTAGAATTGCACGAGACGCGTCCAACCACAGAAATCGAACAAATCTTGACAGTCTCATTTCCAAGTGCTCGTCACTATGTTAATCTTTGTGCTATGCAAATTTTGGTGTGATTTGTATAGAGTATTTTGGGATACTTGGAAGTACACAAAAGCATGTGCACTTACATGAAGTAACTAGACACAAAAATTTAATGTTTCCCTGTGCATGTCACAACATACAGCTGCTCTGTTTTAACTTCCTTCACCTCTGGAATGGAGTGTTCAGTTACAGAGGTGAGGCGTACTCTGGATGGGAGACATAAAGGGACACGATGCTTAACACGAGGAGCTGCAGTCCCCTACATTTACCAAATGTGATGGATGAGAAATATACAGAAATTTATACTAGCTGCAGAAAGTTTCAAATCTGAGGTCATGGGCATACAAGTCCAGCCATCCCTTACACTACCCCTCTTCATGGAGTATGGCAACACCACAGGGCAATGTGTGGAATTAGTACTTGGAAGTATCATATACTACAACATATTACACATATGCCACAATGAAGAACAGTACCTGTCGCTTTGGGTCCCACAATGTGACGAGTGGCTCTACTTGCTCCTCTTCACAGATGGACGTTCAAACACCTGCTTCATGCCCGCAGCCTGATTGTTGTGAAACTTGAGATTTTGAGCAGTCTCGGATATCCACGGCGAGTCAAACTGCGTGGTGTCTTGGTCGACAAGATGAGTGTATTTGGTGCGACCACTGCGCCCAAAGTTCTTCACCTGCATCACCTTTGGCAGTATCGTCTTGTCAAAGTGGTCCTCCAGTGTAGCCGCTGAGAAGTCCCTCTTATAAAGGTCGTCATCCTGATTCTGCAAATACATTCAGTATCCACCACAGTGAGGAGAAGACATAATGTAACTGACCGGACTGGAACAAGCGCTTCTTTTCTGAATGTCTGAATATACGAGTCACCCGCACTTATATAGACTAAACATATTTTACATGATTATGAGCTTCGTATTCAGGACTCACCATGAAGAAAGCCCCACGGTGATAGTACTTCTGTAGGAACTTGTATTTTCCCTTTGTTGCTTTGTTGGTGACAAACTTGGGGTTGTTCCTAAGCTCCTGCCGCCTTTCTTCTTCTGTCATGTTGCGCAGCCGTTCAATCTCCAGTCGTTCCCGCTCAACCCTGAAATTAGACATAATATAATACCTGTGATACTGAATCTCAACATCTTGCCTATCTGATGTTTATAATACTCACTGTTCTCTCTCCTCACGGTCCCGTTTGATTCTCTTCAGCTCCCGCATCTTCCAGGCCTCATACTCCACCTCATCATTCTCATCATCTGTGTTAACATCATTTAGCGATGGCTCATCACCCTCCTTCACTGTTGTTTCCTTTCGTATGTCTTCTTCTACCATCTGGTGACACAAGTGCATAGCTCTGAATCCTTCACGTATTCTTAACTTCAGAACTAACGTCGTAAAGAAGATGGCATGGAGTGCACGGATTGGTAAGTCAAAAATGTATAGGTGGATCTTAGACTTTGAAGCACAGAGCATTACTGACTGGAATGGTAGAGCAGGGTTAAGCACTGTATGCTGAAGAAACTCTTGTTACAAACATGCAGGGACTGAGGATTCTCGGTCACTAGCGAGCCAAACGTACTGGCCACAGAAAAACCCAAACAAAGAATTTGATTGTTCACACATAGAGCTGAAGCTTTTTTTGAAATGATCCATAGCAAAAGAAAAATGCTCAGAAGGCTTTGGAAGTGGGTATTAATTTACAAACAGATAACTATCAGTCAATACAATTTCCAAACTTTTTGACAAACTGTAGATGTGAAACAGACACGCTACACCAAACTATAATTTGTCATTCTTGTGTGTGTTACAGTGCCACTGTAGAAAATAAAGATGATTTCATATATGGATCACGGGTACCTTCAGGGTGTACTTGCGGCGCTCCTCTGCTATCTTTTTAGCCTCAATCTCAGCCTGCTTCTGACGCAGTAACTCTCGCTCCTTTTCCATGACTGTGACTCGGTCCTTCTTTCGAACAAACACTGGCTTCAGACGGGGACCCGTTTCCTCTTCAGAGTCTGACGCATGAAAAACAACAAAACTTAGACACTTTGTTATTTTATGTTCTTTTCTACAAATGTTAACAGATTTAATGTTCACTGACCAGTGTACTCCTCATATTCTGATGACTCGGATGCACTCTCCTCAGGTGAACGGCCTTCCTCTTCCTTGTCCAGTACTTCCACCTCCTGCACAACAAGAAATGCACATTAATGCCAGCCTTCAACAGCAAAACCAAAAACAGCCTCAACTAAAACTTACTTCATCCTCCTTGCGGTTCAGAACCTTCTGGCGCAGCGTTTGTCTGCGCCGTTCAATCTCCTCGTCGCTCAGCTCATCCTCCTCCTCCTCCTCCTCTTCCTCACTCTCTGCCATTTTACCAATTCTATGCTTCTCCTTTTCTTCATCTGAGGCTTCCAGCTCCATAATTTCTGGTGCATGAATGTGCCTGTGAATCGGTAACAACTCACAATGTCAAAGTGTACTTTGAGAAGAGTTTAGGAACAGCATAAAAGAGAGTTATATTTCAGTGTTTCACTAATGACTGCTTCACATTCAGAAACAGAGAAATACAGCGATAAAGACAAAGTTCCCTCTCTAAGTAGAAAACTGAAAACATCTTTCTATCCCAGAAAGTTGAGGAAGACCAACCTATGTCTCTCAACCCTGTTTTCATCTTCACTCTCTTCTCCACGGTCATCTTTCTTCCTCGTTTTCAGTCTTCTTAGTCTAGGATCATCCACGTATACCTCTCCTGTTGCTTGCACATCTTTTTCCATAGTTTCTGCTGGTGACAATGGTCGAACAGCAAGGTGTCGGCGTTTCTGCTCGATGAAGTCATCTTCTTCAGACTCCTCTTCGCTGCTAGACATGGGTGCATAATCGGGTCTTTTACCAGAAACATATCGATGGACTTTAACTTTCTGCATAGACACTTCACCTGCAAATAATTTGGGAATTAAAAAGCTAACATAACCTATACTATATCGGTTTCTAAGCGTTTGAATTAAAATTAGTTTTTTCTTACCTTTGTCATTTCTAACCGGCACAGCACCAGCAGTACTCTGGATACTTATTCCTGCTATATTATTCATAATGATGTTGCAGACTTTGCCCTAATTTGTCCTGCAAAATATTCCAACTACTGCGCATTTACTGCCACAAGTCACACCACCAGACACAATCCCGTGTGCTCATCTATGACCAAGGGCTCTCACTCATATATTACCAACATACTCTGCATTGACACGGATGGAAAATTAAGGTCACCTAATTGAAAATTGAACACCAAATGTAGTATTGAGCAAACATATTATAAACACTTCTGTAGATCTGAGAACAATTGTCACAAATTTTAAAACTGCGTACACCAACAACACAATATCATGGTCCAAGGCTCATCAAAGTGTTTACTTTTCCAGGGCATCACAGAGGCCTAAAGAAAAATGACACTCCGGCTACTCATCCATAGGGAGTAAAGTGCGACTGTTAAATTGCATACTTCGAAATCCTGTCTTGATAGCCATTTTCTTCAGACCCTTCAATAAAATGATTACTCTGTTCCCCTACCCAATGCACTGTGTTTGGTGAATTTATGTTTTCAATGCTGACAGTCTATATTCTGTGATAAACAGTGTTTGGATTCTGTGGTGGGAGACTTCCATATCCGGCTTAATGAAAATGGGCGACGGTACGAAAAATACCTTATAAAATTATGAGTATTATTTTATATCACTTTTTTGTAGATTGTGTATTTGTATTTTTGCAGAGGATGTAATCAGACGACGGCTGCTCATTGATGGGGATGGAACTGGTGATGATCGTAGACTCAATGTCTTGCTGAAGTCCTTTATCAAGTGGTGTAATGCCACAAACGAACCTGGTGAAAGGTATGCAATCAGACTATGATACTGTGTTATGAAGGAAAGCGTACATAATTATACTGAGCTGCTACCGTCTCTCATTAACGGCATAGCCTCTGCTTCTGTCACCTCTTTTGTTCAATGTTGTTATGATAACAGATTGAAGGTTAGGAGAGCGTCTGATTTTGTCTGGGCATTGTTGTAACGGCGATGAACCCAAAGGGCATTTCTTGAACTTTCAGCTGTATCATAGAGTTGGTTTGGAATATAAATATTGTGAGAACACTGCAGGTTTTGCACCAGTTATTTTCTTTGCAGCCAGGTTCTTCATGACCGGATGCTGGCCCAACTTGCACAGTGTGAATTTGCTGTGACAAAGTCAAGATTGTCTGCTTTGATGAGTGCAGCAGAACTTCAGAATTATGAGAACCTCTCACGGCAGATTGAGACTGGAATAGAAGCAGCAAAGCAAGATATTGAAAGCACAAAGCTCGAGTTCCAAGACGCAAAAACAGTTCGGAAGAACAGAATTGAATATGATGTGCTGGCAAAAGTGATCAATGAACAGCCAGATCGGAAGGAAACAGACGAGAAACTGTCCCAGCTTCGGAAAGAGTTGGGCTTGTTGGAGGTAAGTGTACAAGTTAATTTAGGCCCCTTAAATGTTTTCACAATTTTGACGTAAATACGTCTATACGGAAGGGTTATTCGGCAAACAAGTGAAAGGAAAATGTGAAAGAAAAACGTGTTGTCGGTCCATATTAACACATTGTTGATATGGGCCAACAACAATGGTCAGCTTGCGTGCCGGCTTTACCCCCGGTACCCATTGGATAGGAGGCTGGGTGGGCCTCAGAGCCGGTCTGGACGCAGAGGAAAAATCCTCTGCCCCCGTCAGGGATCGAACCCCGGTCGCCCAGTTCGTAGCCAGTCACTATACCGGCTCATAGTAAAGTTTGTCCTATTATACGCCGTACAGGCGCTTGGGGTGAGAGGAGGTATAGCTCCTCTCTTTCTTGAACTTGGTGAGTGGTCAGCATCACGCCCCGGCCGGCTTTACCCCCGGTACCCATTGTAAAAATCCTCTGCCCCCGTCGTCCAGCCCGTAGCTAGTCACTATACTGACTGAGCTATCCCGGCTCATTGGTTGTAATTAAAGCTAATATATAATCTTCCTTTCCATATAGACGTATTTACATCAGATTCTCCAGAACTGTCGTTCCACTGTCAATTTTTTAGATTATTATTTTCTTGTGACTTATCTTTCCTTGAGGTTTTTGATCAGAATTACACCATTTTTGTTCTCTATGCATGTGACATGTTCTACCATCTTGTACTCTTTCATTGGTCACTGCAACAGTCTTAAAGGGACGAATGTAAACTGTGAAGCTACTCAGTTGTGTAATTTTCTTCATTATGTTTTGGCTAATGTTATTAACATTTCAGGAGACACGTGAGCAACTGGAACGCAAGCTAGACATGCGACGGAAACAGTTCCACGTTCTGGTAGCATCCATCCACCAGCTTCAGGCTATGTTGGATGACAGTGAGACAGAGGAGATCATGGATGTGTCACTGGAGGCATTTGAGGATGACTTGTGTGATGTGCAGAAGGCTGCTTCATCTCAGCCAGAAGCCATGGTTGAGTAGAGGGAAGGGACATGACATGTGCAGAGTTGCAAATAAAGATAAACACAAGCTAATAAATGGACCCTTTACCACATAATTTCCCTAAGGTGATGAAGTAAGTTCTGGACAGAACTTATGAGTCTTTCTCTTCACATGCTTTAGTCTGTATTGTGAAGCTACACGGACTGCAAGTTAATAATTACACATTTTAGTGGTTTCATGCATATTTATGAAGTATGTCCATACAAATGATGTCACAAAAGCCCCATATTTTCTTAGGGTCTGCTGGCATGTGGTAGTTGTACCCAGTCACGGTTTAAATTTGACATAAGGGCGTGATGTATTTCTACATGAAATAAAGCTAACATTTGGACTGTAAATGAAGTGCCTTGTTCTGAAAAGTTTTGACTGAATCGGCTGGCAGTGTATGAATGTAAGACACTGAACAAGTAGTAGTACAAACTGTGGATCTGGATTTTCACTTACTTTGATGTTGGTCCTTCTGCAGTATAATTCAGCAAATGAGTGTGTGTTAATAAATTTCTCTCCTTGCATGCAAACATAGTAGCTTGAAGTTGGCCATAACCACTTCTCTTATTACTCTTCATTATAATCTGTATGTCTTAGTGTGGTACTGTAACACAGAGGGTGGAGCACCTAGTTATGTCCCCATTTGTCTTTGAGGCCTAGTATGAATACTGATGCAAGGTGGTGCTGCTAACTTGCATCTTACAGACAAGAACTGCCTGGAGTGTCCATCCCATTGTGGTCTGGTCTTGTAGTTGCTGCCACATCACTGGACAGACAAATGTGTGAAATTACATGACAATATAGTGCTTGTAGATTAGGTATGTTAGGGTGGTTATGACAGATGGGACAAACAGGAAATTTCTTGGAAAGAGAAACGAAGGAAGAGCACTGAAGTGGGGGAGTAAATCATTTTGCTGCAACATTTACTTTGTTATTTTTTGCAAAGTTTGGGAAAACTTTGTTATTGTAGAAGGTAGTTCAAAACATATCTTAAAAGAATATGATAAGCTTACATTCATGTCAAACAGTTGTAAGGTTACACCACCAAATGATTAAAGGAAATTGGTGCCTTCAACTGCAGCGTCATTCAACACCAATTCCAAGAGATGTGTGAATTCGTACGCTATCTCAACATCTGAAATGTAAAATAATTTTTGTGTGTAATGAAATCAACCAAACTGAATAAATTGTTTTGTACATGCATTCAAGTATGTCCTACATAACTTATTTGAGTTTCATTCAGATCCACTGAGCCATGCATCTTTACCTTTTTTTATGTGCCACCTGGCATAATATTACAGAAAATTACCTTTAAAGAATTTAGTGTAGAGCTGGGACAGTAGTCGGCAAGGCGAAGCTGTGGGCTGGGTGATAGAATTTTGTTGAGGGCACTGCCCTGTGCAGTGATGTATCCACACAGAGCTCAAGTGGTGTTCCAGGTATATCAGCTTGCCAGTGTGCTGTGGATTTGATTTGGCTGAATAATGAAGGTTGTTCATTTGAAGAAATTTTAGTCTGATTGAAAGAGATTTGTGAAATCAGCATTCATGAAAATACTTTTTTCCATACAGAAAGTACCAAAGCTTTGTATGAACACCCTTTCCCCACAAAAGTTTCAGGTCTTGTAGGCCAGTTGTATAAACACTCAAAAGTCCACATTTGTAGGGGCTTGTTTATTATGGAAGAAGAGAAAAACAGTGGATAGAGCAAAGTCTCTTATAAAATTTCCAGATCAATCAAGTGCCAGTAACATGAAACATGTATATTTTTCAAATGTGATTAGATTCTACTTAATTGAAATCACACATGCTTACAAAATAATGTATTTGGTGAGATTTCAGGTTATGACAGTGGTGAGTATGAAGACTGTCTTTTGGATTGTTGTATCACATGGTCTAGAAGTAGTTTACAGATGTCGCTTACCTCCTTCATGAAGGCGGCAAGTAACTCTGAAATGTGAATAAACTTCTACCACACTACATGGCACAACAGCCCGGAAGGCAGTCATCTTCATGCGTCATCTGATTTGAGATATTTTTTATTGTCTTTTTGTACACACACACACATTATAAACACACTTATGTAGTACACTTTGGTATGATTCGTTGTGATGTCTTGATGAAGGATGTTACCCACAAGGGCTCCGTCACTGAGATCTGTATGTCCCATTTGAAGGTTACTCTTGAACGCAGCAGCCATTGACTTGGACGGAATAGAGTTCAGTCAGTCTGTGCACAACAAATATTGGTACTTCGATGCTACTTACCTTGATGCCACAGTTGTTTACAATTCCTTTTCCTCTGAAAAGTTTGTTTGGAAAGGAATCAATTTAAAAACTGTACGGAACTTTGGATGTGAATTTTGTTCCTGCCTTAAAAAATCATAGAACACAAATATTTTTTAAAATGGAGACATAGTTTTTGTGAATTTTAACGAAGTTTTAAAAGTCATAATATTATGCCTGTCTGTCATGGTTGGGAGCAGTGATATGAGGAACTGGGTGCTGTTTGTTGAAGGAGTCTTATGTCGCTTATTGGTACATAATGTTTCAGCAAGAAACACAATTTAAATGCAGCCTCATCAGTTTGTAGAATCAAACGAATGAGACACCATCTTGGCACGAACATACAAATTCTCATATTTTCAAAAATGTCTGCACTCACTGTTTATGGACAAACTGACAGATTACCTGTCTGCTGAAATACCACTGCTTGTCTACTTTATGTGCTGTTTAAACAGCTCCACAACAGCGACTGTTTTGTATTTACATTACTCCACGCTCATTCACTCACCATCCCACTGACCATGTCACGAATGGAAACCAAGGAGATATTTTCAATGTTAAAGTATTTCTTGTTTCTCTAGAATTTCAGGTCTTGCAGCAAGCACGACAGTTCAATGTAAGTGGGATTTAACAATTCTATTAGATGTTTAAATTAGGAGTATAAAGAAATTTAATGCAGTCCAGGACACAGACACCATGAAAATGTCCATGCCATGCTTGTACATAGGATGTAAGGAGACTTTTAGAAAAAGCATTGTACAAAGCGGCAACAGCGTGGACGGATGTCAGATCAGAAATGGTGACAAATATTTCATATCACAGATGTGCTTTCAGCTTCAGGTTTTGAGTCAGACCCTGCTCTTGTTGTGGGCAATGCCACATCATGATGGACAGGGACAGCCCCGTCCACCAGGTGTTCAATATCCCTGTTCCTCATGACAGAACGTCGAAGACTGCTCCTAAGGATACACGCCACGTCTGTCGCAGTCATCGTAGACGTGTGCACTGGATGGGCAGAAGATGGCTCTGGCAAATGTTCACTGTGGTCTTGCAGTGTCCTGTTTATTTCCACAAGGACTGCAGTGTAGTCAGGGGGAGGGGGTAGGGTGCCATTGTCTCCCAGTGCACCTGCCAATCGACGCATGCTGCGGCGGAAACTCTGCCGTAAAAGTTTGGCGATCCTGGAACGTGACATCTAGTTTTCAGCACAGTAATTTATGAAGAGAACAAACTCACTGAATTCAGAACAAAACTAACAGCCACTCTCAGGCCCAGGTACTTTACAGAGTCCAAAGAATAAACTACCCAGTCACATTATAACCATGTCTGAAATACTGACAAATATCTCATGCAGGATGCTTGAATTTTTGTTTCTTTCAAACCTATTTTATGTCATTTTATTTTGTGAGGTAAGTTCAATGTATTCTTATCAAACGTTTATGACTTCAAATACTAATATTTTTTCCAGACGATACTTGAAAACAGAAACTTTTACACCAATAATTTTGGCTAGTTCTGTCAGAAAGGGTTGGGCATGCATCTTCAAGGGACCAAATTATGAAATAAACAAGAGCCTCACTAGTTCTAATGCCTTGTTATCCTCCCACTAATTCCTGTGACCTTGTTAGTATAATCCCTACTGCTTTGCTCATATACGTGTTCCTCCGTCATGCCCGTCACTCACCTTGCTCCAGTGGCAGTGGTGTAGGAAGGCGGTGGAGTGTACTTGGGTGGTGGGTCCTCGGTTGTCACGGTTGCTTCTGGGGCCAGACTGGTAGCAGTCGTATTTACCACGGGTGGTACTAAGGTGGCTGAATTTGGAGGAGAGTTGGGGGGCTCTAATGAATCTTGTCGGGATATGGGTGGCCGGTACAGCAGCTGGATGCGCTAAATCGGAACAGAAATGTCTGTAACTATTTCAAAGTCCTAATTTTAGAAGGTGGATTAACAAGAAGTACTGGGAAGATCCTATGATGTCTCACTCAGCTGATACACTTCAGATTATAATGTGAGGTTAGCAGTACCTATAAATTTGTAAGTATGCTATGCATGGATAATTAACACTAATACAGGACTTATACTGCATGTGCCACATATAATCTCAAAGTTTCACAAAAGTTTGTAAGTGTTAGTATTGTTAATATGTAAAAGTGTTTAATATCACAGTTTGTGCATGTTTATTATCTACCTCCATTTAAAATTTCACATGCCCTAAGACCATTCACCAGTTACCGCCATTCAAACCATGTAAGATACGATTCCTACATGATTGGACACGTGCTGAGATGCACGTGTTATAAAAATTGATCTAAAATTAATTTTAAAAGTAGGCATATGGGCTGATTTCTAGTGGAATAATATTAAATAACCAGTTGAGGAATATCCATTGATGAAACAATGGACAGCCATAACATACATGTGCTTCCCATTATAAAATGATAAATGTAGGCTAGAAACAATGTTCTACAGAGTCTCATAACAAATTATTTGGCAGACAGATGGTGCTTGGTAAATGCCACCATGACTGCACGTGGTATACAATGTTTCATCATGAAATGTTATGTTACTTTTCAAGAATACCTGGACATTCATGATTCATTTGTTTTCATGGACTGGAATTAGTGATATTGTGTGAAGTGACTGCATCCCGCATGACAATTAACGAGTGCCTGGCACCGAGTTACTTAGCGTCTCTGTCGTAACACAGTAAAACCACCACCCAACACGTTTCTTTCCTATGCTCCTTGTTGTTCTGAGCATTATTCAAGCCCACATTGTGGCTTGAATTATAATTACGTCTTATAAAGACTATTTAACGTGATTGCAAAGCAGGGAGAAAGAAATGACAAAAATAATTAATTCTGTTATAAAAGCTGATATTCTGCACAGTCTGGGGATGAACGAATAACAAATACTGCTCAGCTCGTCTCCTGACATAAACAAATCTGTGGGCTGATTATACATGGGACAACAGTAAAATAAACAGCAGATCAAAATTTTGTAACTTGCATAAATCATAAATTTTCTTGAACTGTTAATGTTCTAACTGCTGAATTACTTCATCCAAATAGTTTCCTGAGCACTCTGTTTCAAACACTCGTAATTTATGTTACTTCCTCAAATGAAGAGACCGCTACTCAGAAGCATTTGCAACACTTCAGTTTAATAGGAAGATATTCCAAAAAGGCTGTAAGCCAGCATAGAGAATATGTCACATAGTGATGTTGAAGGCAAAACGAATTACAAGAGAGATTAAAATGGTGGCGCAACAGAAGTCACAGAGAGTTCTGAGGAGGAGGAGGAAGAAGACGGAGAAGAACTACAGAAAGAAACAAAAGATGAACAAAAATGCTGAGTGTTAAAACCCACGACACTTACATCCAAGATATCAGGAGGCCCGATGGACAAGTATCGGAAAGTCTGCACGATGCAGACAAACGGAACAAGTATGATGGGCAGAAGTTGTAGCATGCATCCCACCTCACGTGTCCACACAGGCCAGTAGTTGTAAGTGACGCTATGCCAGTTGTACAGATCTCGGAACTGGCCGTTCTTGAACACCGTGATGCAAGTCACCTATCAACACGACAGGTGATGTTTTCACTCAGCGTAAGAAGCGTGATCTTCGTCAAGTGTGTATTAGTACATCATCTCACCACGAGGGCAACAGGTAAAATGACGTTCCAGGTGAAGATGAGCAGAGGTGCAGCCCATGCCTGCAGGCACCCAGCACTACGGCTAAACATAGTCGTCACCACAGTCTCGCCGCTGTAAGGCCGACCTCGCACCACAAACACGGCCAGAATCTCAAGCAGGTACAGCACCATAAGCCACCAGGAGCACCCAATAGTGTAGTCCAGGAAGTGCACCACAAATATCCCCAGCTGCAAGAATCACATGATGAGCAGAGCTCTCAGACTAAGCTTACCATAACACAATACAATACCACAGTTCCATAGTAATGCAACTTGAGAGTCAGAAGGCGCAATCCATAATGGCGTACACAAAACTTCCAGTTGCTTCTTCTTGGACGTGCTATTTTATTGCTAACAGGAGAAAGAATTATGTGACCGGTACCTGATTTTTAGTTTCCAAAATGGCACATTACACGAACACAATAAACATTTCATTATTGAAGTCTTTCTAAAAGAACAGGTCATTTTATGTTCCTTCTTTTGCTTGCATTGGATTTGTAAAATCTGAAAGGCAGTACATGAAATGTAAAAAAGCAAGATTTTTTACTTTGTGGTAATCACAGATCAAGGACGAAATATTTTTGTTGGACTATGATCTTCTTTCATTTTAATTCTTAATGTTTGTAAGGACGAAATATTTTTGTTGGACTATGTTATTCTTTCATTTTAATTCTTAATGTTTGCGATTTATTAAGAAGTATGCGATACCATTGTGTGCCACAGTGTTTATGGACGTACAAATGAAGACAACATAAAATACAGATCATAATGTAACAGTGGATCAAGGTCCGCACCTCAGTTGTCATGGGGAGGCCAAGGATGAAGCCGCAGACACAACTGAAGAACGTGATAGTCGTCTCCCAGGACTTCAGAGAGGCAGCACTGATCGCCATGATGCCAGTGATAACACAGTGCCAAATGCACAGCTGCAAACATATCAGCACAGTGCTCAGGAAAGACAAAAAATAAATATTTGAAGCAGAAAGCATCTGATGCTAGGCTCTCAAGGGATATCAAAATTGCACAAATATGTCCACGTGGTAAACAAAATATGACGGAGAATAATACAATCCATTACTGGTTAGGATATTCCATGAATAACATTTGAAATACTATAGAAAGTTGTAAAGAGAAAGAAAACGTATTTCTACAAACGGTCGGTACTTTTGCATATGGCAACATGTCACGAAAACACACACCTGCTGTGCAATGCCGAACAGAATGAGGACAAAGTAAAAGAGAACGGCCCAGAACGGTGAGACAACATCGGCACCAAGCAGTGCCAGAGTGGACGGTACCAGCTCCGTCGCAAGCCGCAGGACTTGGTACCCGCTCTGCTGTCGAGGGTCCACACCAGGCAGAGTCACTCTGCTGCCAGCAATCAACACAGTATGAGTCATGTAGCGGACAGGAGTGCCAGCCACTGACGGGGGCAGCGGCTCGGAGTCAGGCTGCAGGAATCCGTATGTTGACACGTGCTCTGGAACACGACGACTCGTGCACATTCAGGTTTTTGAGGAACTCTGTATCTCTTTCATTGCATCCAGTTCTTTTATCACTGAATATCAGCTGACATGCTCGAGGATAAACAGCTGCGGTTCAATCCGTGACAGGGACATCATGATCTTTCTCCTCACCAGTGCATGTTCTGAACAGATGTTGAGTTGACAAAATCACCTATACAGTACACAATGGGGGCTCTTTCCCCAGGGGCAAAACAGCCAGAAATGAAGCTGACTACTCACGTCACCTTGTACTGAGACTGGGAATGCATGAATATTTTCATCCATGTGACCATGAAGTGAAACACAGAGACAGAAACAACTTTCCCTTGTTGCAAGAAATATCTTTGGTCTTCAGTTATATGAGTCTCTGAACAGCACTGTATGTTAATAATACCCCATGACAGCTATAAACTCACCAAAGGAGCTAGGAATGTATGTGAAGCCTTGGCTATGCAGTATGTTGACGCACGTGCTGGCGAGGAAAGCTGCGAGCAGCAGCACGGCGAGAGTCAGCACAACCACAAGAGTGGTGTCACGGTTCAGGAGGTGCTTGTGCCGGTTGTGGGAAGTGATCTGCATAGCAGTGGCTCCAAGCAGCCCCCACGTAGAGAATACCTCTGCAGTGGCAGCCACCCAGCACTGATAAACCGAGCGATTAGCATCCAGGTGAGAGCACCACAACCACATCCCTGTTCATAATTCTTCTCTCACATACCTCTCATTCAGCACTGTACGATTTATGCAGCGGAGAGACCAGCATTAAAATTACAAAGAACAAAAACTCCAGACGAAAAGTAGCAAAAGTATTTCTTTGTTAGTATTTCGTTCTTAATATGCAACCTGGGTGGGGGAGACAAGAAGTGGCATAGAAACCTTTGGAGACTGACCGACTGAACCTTGAAGAGCATGGAGGACGTGGAATTGGATCCAAAGGGAACATGCACCAAGCAAGGGAGCTGAATGGAACTGGTTCAGGATCACACCATGTTCATAATACTGATGTTGCAACTTCAGACTCTGATACCAGAGGTAGTGGTGGCTAAGGCTGACAATGAACCCAGGACTTCAGCAAGGCAATGGCCTGTATACCTGTCCTCTTTCCACTGCCAAAATATAATATGAGCAAAAATGAAGAGAAACTTAACTACCTGACAAATCATATCTATAAGGTGCAAGGTAATGAAAGGTCTGTGCCACAGACTGCAAAAACAGGGCACTGGGCCGACCTCCGTCTGTGGCACAAGACGCCGAAAAGCTTGTCTGTGTAATGCACGTGTTTTCTGTCCTTACTGTAGACTTATGATGAACTTTAGTATGAGACACTGAAGCTGTGTTTCAAAACTACTTAATGATTATTATGAAATCCAATAGAATTTTCAGCTCACCTTAGTGTTGAGAAAGAACTCACCCCACGCAGTCTGGGGGAACACTTGGTGCTTCGTGTTTGTAGGCACCAGACCCAGCAGCTTTGTGCATAGTACCAGTGTCCCAAACACAGGAAACAATGAGAACACATACACCACCTTCCCATACGACTTGAGACCTGAAAGCAAAGAACACCTCACCGTTGGTACAAGCGTAACTTCAAGTTAGCTCATACAAAACTGACTGGATAGAAGCTGGTCGACGAGTTAGATTCCTCGCAGGGCCAGGGACCAGATTGTCCGTGGAGCCCTGGCAGGGGGTAAGGTTAAAAATGCACGGAGCTTCAGTTCTCTCCCCGAGCACTCCTCTTCTCTACTTGTGTACGGAACATAAACTGCATGATCCTGTTTTCTTGCTTCACACAAAACTGCATGATCCTGTTTTCTTGCTTCAAACAAGCTGCTGCTGCTCCTGCAATGAATTCCTTAACCCCTTACCATGTACCCAGCATGCCTCATCCCACACAGCCTTCAAATCGATCTGTTTACGGCACTGCAGCGCATATGCAAACCAAAAATTACAACAGTACAGAAGCACAAAAACAATTTGAACTACATAAAAAAATTTCCCGACAAATGTCTGAACAGAGTGAAATATAAGACACAGAATTTACCTGGCACTATGAGTAAAGAACTTTAATTAAGTGTGAAATCCCAGAAACATAGATAGCTCTGCCGTGTTGGTCACAACTCCGCACTGAAACCCCCGAGCATTCTTCTGCCAAAACCGAGTTGCACTGGCTTACCTCCAATGCCCCACACAGTCAGCACCCGAGGCCACTTTAATAACGACGTACCTTTGCTGAGGGAGACGAAGACAATCATCCACACGACGGCCAGGTTAAATGCCACCTGAAACTTGAGATGTCCAAATGAACTTTCAGGCATTTCCAGGTTGTGGCGCTGCAGCACAATGCCATTGAAGTAGTCTGGTACTGTCTCTTCCAGTTTCCATGACACGTTCTTTGTGGTATGGCTCTCTGCAATAAATCAGAAACGTCACACTATCCCCGCTTTAGTAAACCAGCGTTCATCCAAACTCCTGAGCTGGGCATTTTTATGCTGAATGTTAAACAAGAACATGGTGACCATCTGAAATGTGTATTTACTGCTTAAAACTGTGGACCATTTCATAGGCAAGGAACTGCCTGCTTGTCTTGACAATCATCAGACTCAGCTATAAATTACATATGAAAGAGTTTTCATGTCTTAAATGTTACAAATATGACAATACCCGGGGTTGTTTTTGACAACTTACACAAACTAGCAGAAATTAATCACTAATGAACGCCTCTCCACACAGATACTAATGCCCCCGTCACCTCACCTTCTCGGTACGGGTCGTAAGGCTCGGCCCACCGGTAGCTGTCTTGTTTCGTGATGAAGGAGTCTCGGAAGTATATGAACATCCAAGACACTCCCACGACGCTGTATATTCCGATGAGTGCTTGCGATATGAGCAGCGCAATGCCAATTCCCTGAGAAAAAATTAATAAGTTTATAATTATGAAACTTTCTTGATCACCCTGTTTCTTTATCCCCTCAGCACCCTGTTCAGAAACATACCCAATCAGCGTTCTGCCCTCATACACGTACAACTTACCTGAAAGATGGGAGATATGTGCCACATGTCCATGACACCAGCGCCAAGGCACTGACCGAGGCAGGTGTGCAGCGTGAACAGCGGGATGCCAATCACCAGCGTGAGGAACAGAAACTGAACAATGAAGTTGGCTGCAACATGAGAGCGTCCCATCCCACGATTAACGACTGAACGCATCAAAAGAAGCATCCTGTCCCTAATTCAGAAACTGAACACTCACCTCCAAAATGAACACTGAGGATGGCAAAGCGGCTTATATTAAAGAGTCCCAGGGTGCAGCCGAGGCTGGCTAGCATGGAGCTCAGACCGTGGGGCCAGGCCCCGAGCGGGCTGTTCTGTATCTCGGGCTCGTGGGTTTGCCTGCAACACGTGGTTCAAAAAAGAGTCCTCAGTCCCTCTAATGAAACAGTACTTTTGTTTTGATGTTACATAACGCATACAGTCGACCGGCACTGCAAAATAACCCGTCATATCAGTCTGGCGCCAAGGTAAGATCTTTCTCTCCTTCTCTTCAAGACGCTCGATTTCCATCGCCTTAACAAAAGTGGGTCTGAGTGGAAGTGCACAGAGATGATTGCCATGGCAACACACATCAGCGTAATGGGCGACAGACAGATTCTTTAGCTCTCTATGAAATGAGATGGTGCGTGCATTCCTAGTGTCACTTCGTACCCCACAAATCAAACTCGGACCCAAGTGAATGCAGAACAAATGGGACACCCTTCATACCTGGAGCTGGTCCCATTACTCATCGTCTCGGCAAAGCTGTCAGTGGCCTGTTCAGCCCCAGAGGTCTGTGCTCCGTCACTGGCACTTGACAGATCCTCGTCTTCCTCATCAGAACTGGGGGACTCAACAGCCACAGGCTCTGCAGCTTGCGTCAGGTTGGTTACACTGCTGTCCAGGGCTGCGGCGTTGTAACTGCTGTACCGCCGGGGGAAGTCCCGTCTGGCTCGCGAGACGCCGCCCCCTGGTGCGGAGTTTGGGCGGCGGTTGTTGTGAGCCAGGATGTGAAGGACGGTATCGGGGGTGGCGAGAGGCCCAAGCGGAGCGCTGGAGGCGGGGATGGAGGGAGGCTCAGACAGGCGGAAAGGGCGTACACGGCGCATGGATGATCGCAGCCACGCGCTGGCCGGCCGCGGCGACTCGTCACGGGACATGCGATGTGCTTCCAGCGCTGCCAACCAGCTCCAGTCGATTTCGTCACTGGAACAATCACAGCGTTGACAAATAGTGCACATCGTAACACTGCGAGCAAGACACTCCACGGTTCGTACACCCCCGTCGACAATTCCTGCAACACGAAACGTACCCTGGGGCTTTCATTCGCATGGGCGCGGGGCACGCAAAGAGCGCCTGGTGTACTCCAGCACGGAGTACAAACAACTTCCAAGTTCTTTCAGCTGACGAAAGAGACAAAGGGCAGCGGAGCCAGACATGATTTTCCTTGAACAGCTGGCACGTCGAAAGTCGCAGGTCTTACAGGTGTGTCAGTACGTTCTTTACGTCACGGGAAAATGGACGGAATTGTCGATGTGGATCCTGACACAAGCCTTAATCTGAATCCGCACGCACAAGCACGATGACCACGACTCGCGGGCCACCAGCAGCTTTCCGCCGAACAAAGGCATTACCGAGCCAGAACGGCGCGCAAGAAGGTCTCGCGTTGGCAGGAAGTTTCGTCACGCCAGCTGCTGCCTCGTGTCCCAAGATCTGGAATGGTTTTCAACCTGTGCACCGCGACGCGGTTCGCCACAATTCGAAGGTTACGTCACTAAAATACCGCAGTTCGAATCTGCCAGGGCAATGGCTGAGTTTTCCTCAGTCTGCCCGCTCCGTGTTCTAAGCGACACGTGTTCAGAAGGAAACCCGCGGCCTTCGGCCGAGTTAGCCGTCTACGGTGTCTCATTGCGCAGGCGATGACGCATGCGCTCCCAAAAGCTCCAACCAGTCCACGGAGAAGGTGATAGTTGCTCAGCTGGTCACGGAACACAAGATTTATTACCGCGTTCACAAGAGGCAGCGAGTGGACCCCATCCTGAGACAGATGTTCAGGTCCACGGTATGAGTTTTCAAGACGCACACCACGAAGCCCGTAACTCACCTCGACTCCCTCCTGCTCTCTTCAGCCGGCAGTTCCGAGCGTGCAGCATCACAGTGACTTAGTTCCGCTGGGGACGACGATGGTCTATCGGAGCCACACAGTTCTGCAGAGTCACTGAGTTCTGCAGGGGGCGGTGGTCTATCAGAATGACTCAGTTCCTCAGGGCACGTTGGTGCGCCAGAGGTACTCAGTTCTGCGGGGTCCAGTGGCTCCTCATCCGTGAGGCACCAGCCGTCGTCGAACCCCAGGTTGAGGCAGCACTGGTCTGCCACATGAACTAGCCTGTCTTCATCCTCAGATGCGGGGGCGCTGGCCAAAACTAACTGCGACCTCGGATCCTCGAGGCCCACCGCCGCCTGCATCATGCCCGAACCTGCAACAGCCACGACCATAACGGAGCGATCCAACAGCAATATCTGACGGTCCTATCGTCCCCGGGTCACTTAAACTCTTAAACACCGTGGGCAGTGAACTGGAGAGAATCGGGAAGGGGACGTCTCGAGAGGCACATTAAGTTCAGTTGAGTTGTTTCCGAGCTTCGATGCTGTACCGCAAAGCTAACCGCCTGGCAGCACAGGTTCACAATCTTCGGATACTCATTGAGAGTATGAATCTCTTTCGAAACGTCGTTCCTCTCAAAATTCTGTACGCAACTCCTATTTCACCATTCGCCATGTTCAGCCCATCGTAATCTCATGCTGACTAGGACAATCGATTAACCAGCGACAGGCAAATTATCTTGAGACGCGCTCAAAAGAAAAGATGAGATTGGACATAGGTCATTTATGCACAAAACCTGTTGTCTGGTTAGCAATGGCGGACTGATGATCGGGGCTTCTTAATAGAAGGTGTCAAAGTCCAGAGAACTGGATAAGAAGTTAATTTTTGGTGTTCGTGTGTTCAGGCGCCACATGCACTACATTCTCAAGGCCACAGGCACCAAGAAAACTCATAAGGCTACCTGAGGTGGCCATGAAGACAACTAAATTAACTGACCAGGAAGTGAAATATTACCTCACAGCTCAGAACTGACGTTCGTCTTAAATTTCTCAAGAAAGTTTTGCCTTTGTGGAGCACCTGGGGGCATCTGCAGCGTCCCACACACACCGCGACCTTCGAGTCGCACTTCCTGCTTCTCCCGTTATGAACGCCGAGGCCGCTCGCCATCCGCTGCCGGCTGGCTTCGAATTTGTGGACGGAGTTTTATTTCTATTTTGGGCGGATACAATCAACAGTGGCCATGATACCGATTACCTCCAGCCACAAATCCGAGCCTCAAGGGTGTCTGATGAGACGATGATTATGAATCTGAAAGGCTGTGACCTGAATTAGCATCGGCTATTGCATGGGAGGTCCCAGGTTCAGATCCCGACCAGCTGTTCTAACAAGGTTTTCGCCGTTTTACTCAGTCCCTACAAGTATTGTAAAGATGAAGCTAATCGCACTACGGACATCACACAACACGGAGTGAATTTCGTATAACTGTAACAACATTAAACAGACATTTCGAGGTTCATTTCATTCTACGACTTGTGCCAACTTTTATTGCCCCAAATCAAGGAACCCCCCCCCCCAAGGAAAAACAAATGTGACAATTCACTTGAGTGGTTTCGGAGATGAAATGTGTACACACAACACGACCTCCCGAAACGTCGTGTACCTGGTTTCTTCCGACCTTCAAACCCAGCAAGCGGACAGCGCGCCACGACGTTCTTTTGTCAGCGGCTACGATCGATACGTAAACGATTCAACAGACCCACGTGCGTGCATATTCCGTCACTGGGGTCGCACGTCAGGGGGGCTGCGGATTTCTCGCAACAAAGGGACACACCAACGCACGTTCGGTCACTCGAGCACAAAGCATGCCAATTTCTTTTCCACCGGTTCACAGTGGCTTCACACCACAAATACGAACATGGCGGACGCGCGCATTTCTGAACGTCAACAGATGTCCGACATTTAGTTACGTGTAACCATGAGGATCAGATTCCGGGACAGGTAGGCGGCCTTGGAGTTTCTTTGGAGGGGGAGGGAGGCTGACATCGGTTCTGAATCGCCATATTTCGACGCCTTTCTATTCGCTTATAAAAGCGCACAAACAACCGACCGGTTTTGGATCTGAAGACATTTTTGTTTCACGTGTGGTCCTGCTACGGATTTTGACAAAACTTTCGCACAAGGACCTGATTTCATTTTGGGCTCATTCACCCACAAATAGAAAAGTCCGTGGCATCAAAAATAAACAGAGACGACACGAAAGAAAAAGGGAAGAAGAGGTGGGAACTGAGAGGAACAAACAAAGGAGTGAGTAGCAGCGCAGCGTGACCTCGTTACGAGCAGACACATCAGAACACTGCGCACGCGCACGGAGAGTACAGACCAATCCGAATAACATCTTTCATTCGTGCTACACGACCGATCGGAGGAAACTGTTACATAATTACAACACTGATGTAAAGTCCGCCCGATCCCATTTCTAACGCACAAAGACTTCGGGGTTCGTGTTGTGTTATCTCGAGCAATTTCGAGGAAGGGGGAGGGGGGGGCAGAAACCTAGTCGGTGGAGTTTGGGTCCGGAGCCCGAATGCATGGCAAGAGCGATGAAAAAAGCCCAAATTTGACTGCGGTCACTTGGACCACGCCCACACCCACATAATCTGCCCTTGCTGACCTGTAAATGGGGCTTCGGGTTTTATGGCAAACTGGGGTCTGTCCTCCATGGTCAGACAATGTTACAACCATTCTGGATGGAAATTTCTGCCAACAGCAACAGGGGCAAACTGTCTTGTTCAGGGTCTATCGACAGTTATCGCCTGGCCAAGCGATGCCAACATTACAGTCAAGTGGTCGACTGAACATGGGTCCACATCTCGGCCCTACTATCAGTTCTCCTAAGCCCATGCAGACCTCATATTAGGCCACGACTGCTTCCTCTTACATTCAATAACCATCCTACAAACCCACTTTCATTAAATTCGATAGTTGTGAATGTTCTGTAGAACTGTCGAGACATGTAAATTTTAATCTATGTTCCACACCCTTCAACACTTGGCATAGGAACATACAGTATTCTTGACGTAACATTATCACAGAACGTCAATCTACAAAAACAAATGGTTCAATTGTTTCAGACTGAAACAATTGAACACTGACAAAACAGCCTTGACAGAGTTTACACTGCGTTAAAATCAACTTATGCTGTACTACAGCATAATTAAACAAGTTACAGGCCTACACATTCGATAACTTTTTTCAATTTAAAAGGACCGGCGTCTTAAACTAGTATATTTTTTCGTATTTAGTTCATACTTCTTGTTACAATTGTAATTTCATTGTCATTTCAAGAGCATGGATGTCAACAATCCATTTTGCTAGTTAAGTGTCTGCCTAGATTATCAAGTGGTTTTCAAACTGAAAATTTGTACCAATATCTTGTACTGCTTCTCAGCGTTCATTTTTCTAGCTAAATTTCTTAACAAATACCTCATGGTTACGAAAATATCCATTTCGTCACAGTGAACACAAAAGCTCATGAGCACACTCTGGGTTCAGCTCTGAACCTTGGTCAGTCGCACTAATTCGACAAACAGCCCTTCTCTTCTGACAGCTCGCAGCTGAATAACACACGGACGGACGACTTCTCGCGGTTTTCGACAGAACCTCCTGCATACCACTGCGACCCACAAGCCACTAGGTCACTGCACTCTGATAATTAGCTACTGCTCGGAAGTTCCTTCCTTCACTCTCATTGTAGTCTTGAGAAAATTTCTCAGACGGGCAACAACTCCAGGAAATAAATGACGCAATTACTTACGGTTCAAGCGGCAGACATACACACACCGTTAGCACCTCTAACACTGACGGGAACAGCACGTCACTCAATGGACACGACGCGATTCCACGGCCACCTAGCGGCGAGGACGCGAAGCCACACAACAAATGAATGCCCATACACAGGACTGCAAAATTAGATTTAAGTTTGGTGAAATTTTCAACCACTTCGGGTCTTTAAGAAAAGGTTACGTCAGCACATCCTTATTTTCCTACGATGTTCATTTTTTCCTTGGCAAATGTTGACAACTAAATACATAAAGCAATGGTTAACAGACGTTTCAGCAAACTGTTTACTAAACATACAAATGGCTGTTAAGAAATATTAAGCGGATTTCCACACCAGAGAACACCCCCCCCCCCCGCATTCAAATAATAAAGACATGTATACATACACATTAAAAATTTATTGCTACTTTAAATGTAGCTCATTTCAAAACTGTTGCCCAATTTCCTTCTCCATACGTACGCGTTGTGAGTCCATTACGTAGCATTGGGTATCCATTCGGATAGTATTTAAAAATGATCTGTAACGTATCGGTAATGCGTATAAAGAATACAACTTCTGAACACATTCCCTATCACCATGTTGAATAACAAATATTTCATGAGCAATTTGCAAATATATTATTCAAAGTGTGAGCTCTTACCAGCAACGGTTGTCCCCGTAAAGTGGAAGATTAATTAACATTCCAGCAACTCTGGTGTAGTAGTCGCAGACAAACAGCAAGCAATCCTAGAGTTGATCGGTGACAAGATCCTGGTACGTACGTAACGCACCGCCGCTGTGTTCAGGATCTGCAAGAACGGCTGTGAGAGCACATTTTCTTACCAGAAACTACACAAACTGAAAGACGATTGGATTGAATTTACTCAACAGTGTACACTAATGGACGCGTTTCAAGGAAATGATGTGAGCAGGTTGGCAGCAGTGTCGCACCGTGTTTGTTTGCATTCCGATTTTCTGGACGTGCAGCGCGACCTGAAAGGTCGAATCGTTGTTCTGCGGAGAAACATAAACACGAGGCGAGAACGTTATCATGACGGCCCTCTGGTATTTTCGTCAACATGGTTTAACCTATTATCAGCCGATTGGAACGCGCCTATCTGCATGACTTATTCAGCACGTTAACTTCGTAATCATCACGAACCCGGAGCACCAAACATCACCATAACTGTGGATTTTCGTGGTTTTACACGTTCAAATTTCGGTCGCCTGACCGGGAAATCTAAGAGGTTTTCGAGGTTTTTCTCAGTCCCTCCACATGAATACCAATATAGTACTTATCCTAAATCAGGCCACAACCGCTTCCTTCCATATGCAGTTCAAGTCATTATTCACTAACAATCTTATTCGACATGTCACAGTCTCTGCAACTGACAACGCCGTTAAACAAACCACACGTAAAAACTTCTTAACCCCATCAAATGCCAGAAACGTCGATCAATATCTACCAAACTCATGGGTGCAACATACCAGACGACAGTCACCTTCGTGCTCGTCCCATGACAGTATTAAAACTCACCCAGGGAAAGAAAAACCTCTGTATTCAAACGTACGCCAAAACACGTGAGCTGCTACTACTACTGCGCACAACGCAACCGCCACTTGACCTGCCCCCCCCCCCCCACCCCCCCCACCCCCACA